ATTATATAAAATTGAAATTCTATACCACAGTGTAAAATTTAAAGGCAAAAGTAAAACTTTTTAAAAAGACCAATAATATAAGTGACCAGACAAAATGTTGTTATTATTATGAAAATAAGTAAAACAAAGATAAGCATCTAAATTTTTAAAAATGAATAAATTATATGTACCGGGAATCTCTGAAAGAAAATATACAAATGAACATCACATTTTTTAAGTATATAAACTCTTAACACACCAGTCAATGCAGATTTGAAATGCCATTTTTCCTCTTCCAAATCAGCAGACTATGTATTTATTTATTATTTTTTAGACCATGTCTTCCTATGTATCCCAGGCTGGCCTTGAACTCCTGATCCTCCTGCCTTAGCCTCCCGAGTGCTGGGATGACAGGTGTGTGCTACCACACTAGACTCAGCAAAAACTTCTAAAGCCCAATGGCTAATGCTGACAAGCTTGCCATAAAGTGAATGTTTTTATACTGCTGCTGCTGGGGATAAAAAACTAATATACTCTTTCTGGAAAGTAATGCCACAATTTGTAGCAAAAGCTTTAAAAACATTTATATTTGGCACCCTTAAACGCAGCTGCACAAAGTGACTTACTTTCAGAGTACAGGATAGGAAAAGAGGGAGGACTAACCTTAAATGGCAAATCTTGACAAACACTACTGCAGACAGCTGACCAAGGTCAATGCGTGCCCTTGAGGTGATGTGACGCAAACAGCCCACAACCTCTATGGTCTTTCTCCCCTGAATTTATAACCCCAATTTAGTCATGAACAAAATATCAGACAAGTCTCAGTTGAGAGACAACCTACAGAATACTTCACTGGTGCTCCTCAAGACTCCAGGTCAAAAACAAAAAGACTTCAGGTCATCAAAATAAAGGAAAGTTTGAGAAACTGTCATCACCAGGAGGAGCCTCAGGAGATCTGGCCATTAAATGTAATGTGGCGTCCTGGAACGAAAGGGGGCACAGATAAACGCTAAGGAAGTCTGACCACAGTGTAGGCTTTGGTAAATGATTGTGTATCGATATTGCCTCATTAACTAGAACGAAAGGAAGGCATAGTGGTGTGTGTCTGTAATCCCAGCATTCTAGGAGACTCGGGCTAGAAGATCCCAAGTTTGAGCCCAACCTGAGCAACTTACAGATTTAGTGAGACTCTGTCTCAAAATAAAAAATGAAAGAGATCCGGGGATGTAGCTCAATGTGAAGGCTTGGGTTCGATCTCCAGTGCCACAAAACAAAGCAAAACAAAATTATCAAAATTATAGTGTAGTATAGTATAGTATAGTATAGTAAGGTAGGGTAGGGTATGGTATGGTATGGTATAGTTTAGTATAGTATAGTATGGAAAACATTGTAAGAGACAAAGGTATACAGGAATTCTGTGCTTAGTTTTTTCTCAAATCTAGAACTTTTTAAAAAATAAAATCCATCCATTTTCTTAAATGTTTACATTATTTAGCTAAGAAAGTTCACATCTGAGAATTTATCCTTAGAAAATAATCCCAAATGTGGTAGATTTACCTACAGAGATATTTTAGCATTACTTACAATAGATTTAACTTCACTGTTCAGTAATAAGAATCTGACCAAATAAAATGTCTTTCCTCCAGTCAATGGAATATTGTAGCCATTAAAGTGCTGAAAAGCATATTTGATGATATGACCATAAATTTATGACATATCAAACTAGGCTACAAATTTTACATAGAGCACTCTGTATTGAGTCAGAAAGAGATTGACAGGCAGATAGAGATGATAGACCTTCAGTTTACCTTAAGTTTATCTGTGTTTCCTAGTTTTTATACGTCATATATTACTAATGTCATGGTAAAATACATATAACATAAATTTTACCATTTTAAAGTGTACAATTCAGCCAGGCGAGGTGGCACATACCTGTAATCCCAGCACTCAGGAGGCTGAGGCAGGAGGATCGTTGTGAGTTCGAGACCAGCCTAGGCTACAAAGTGAGCTCAAGGAAAGCCTGAACTGCATAGCAAGTCCCTGTCTCAAAAAGACAAAAATAAATAAATAAATAAATAAAGTGTACAATTCAATGACATTAAGTATAGGCACAATGTGTAGCATATATCAGTGTCTCATGCCCTTTTATGTTGAATAATATTCCATTTATACACATTTACCACATTTTAGTTATCCATCAGGAACACTAGAGTTGAGGAACACAAGGTTTATTTTCACCTTTATTTTAAATAGTGCCTCTGTGAACATTCAGAAAATGAGCTAATCATACTACTCAGAAATAAAAAGGTCTGAATTACTGATACATACAACATGACATGAAAGAGTCTAGTATTAATTTTTTTGAGGAAAGAAGTTAACCAAAACATGAAGTGCTATATGATTCCATCTGTATAAAAGTCTAGACAATTTTTTTTTGTTTTGTTTCATTTTTTTGTTTTTTGGGGAGGTGGTACTGGGAATAGAACTCAGGACCTCATGGTTGTCAAGCAAGTGCTTTGCCAATGAGCTAAGACCCCAGCCACTAGACAATGTTTAAATGACATTCAGACTTGGCTCAAAATTAGTGCCACAAAAGTGATTAAAATGGAACCATCTCTTGCTGATAAATTTAGTTCAGGACCACATGAACCAAAATAGATTTTCAATGTGCTGAACAGCAAAGAGTAGCACCTTAATAAACTCATATTTAGTATACACAATTATATAGGATGTCACAGCTTGACCTGTGATATGGCCAGATGTTTTTTAAAGTAATTTTTAAAGGTGGAACCTAATTTTTTCCCCTAGAGTATAATGTCTTCATTACTGTCCCACACCTTAAAGGAAGAAAGGCTTACTTTGGTTCCTAGTTTGTGGAGGTTTCAGTCCATAGTTTGCTGGTCCAAGGCAGAGCAGCATGCAGAGAAGAAGCAGCTCACAGCATGGCAGCAGGAAGTAGAAGACGGAAGTAAATAGACACTTCCAGGCCACAGCCCCGCCCACTGACCCACCTCTAACCAGGCCTCCTAACAGCATCTTCAGCAACAGAGTGCATGAAAGGATGAATTCATTGACGGATGTAGCACCCCTATCATCCAATCAGCTTCCATACACATGAAGCTTTAGGGGAACAGTTTAGATATAATTCATAACCCTGGCTTAAAATAAAACATGGAGAAAGCAAAGATGACTTCTGAGATCAGGACATAGCCACTTCCTCCTTGTTCTCTCGGACCACTTGCTCCAGGGGAAACCAGCTGCCATGTTTTAAGGACAGTGAAGTAACCCAATGCAGAGCCCCAAGCCTTGAGAAACTGGGGCCTCCTGCAAACAGCTCGCAAGGCACCAAGAGTTCTCAGAACCAATGATGCAGCTCCAGTGAAGCCCTCAGATGTCTGCAATGCTGGCTGCCATCTGGACCAACCTCACAAGAGACCCATGATCAGAACTGCCCAGCTGAGTTGCTTCCAAATTTCTTAATCCACAGAAACTGAGATAATACCTGATAAACTTGGGGGTAATTTGTTGTGCAACAACAGAAAACTAATATAGGGGACCCTTATCTAAGATTAACAGCATCATAGCTAGGCATAAAACAATCTATATAACACTGCATTTTAATTAGGGGCATATGTGTATACAACTTAACAGCACAACTCAAACAATTTTTACATCTCTATATAACTACCAACAAGATCAATATATATGCCATTTCCAGCACCCTAAGGAACTGCTTCACCTCCATAGTCAAAATCAATCAATAGATGTTTGTAGAGATAACCACTCTCTCGAGTTCTACAACCCCATAGATTAGTCTTCCCTGTTCTTGAATTCCATATAAGTAGAATCTTTCTAAATGTACTCTTTGTGTCTGGCTTCTTTCACTCATCATAAGTATTTTTAAATTTATGCAAGTTGTTATGTTTCAGTAGTTTGTTCTTTTCATTTTGGGGTAGTATTCCACTGCATAATTATATCAATATATTTCCTTATCGATAGATGTGAATAGAGTTACCATGAATATTCTTGTGCCAACCTCTCTGAGGCTTATGACCTAACACTCTTGGGTAAATTCTTAGGATTGGAATTGGTGGGTCCTAAGGTAGATGTGTAGATGTCAGTTTTCCAAAGTAACGCCATTGAAATTCCCACCCAAAGAGGTCTTTTTCCACTTGAAGCAAGCCAAATTTAAAAAGAAAAAAAGAAAAAAAGTTGGTCTTAATGAGAAAATCAATGGCAATAGATAAACACCTTATTTTGAATTATTCATAACAGTCCTGAAACGAGCCTAAAAGGTGCGAAGCTATCTGACAGGTCATCCTCTAGGCAAAGACTTTGATTTTGATCATTGGTTTAGAAATAATTTTAGCACTTAGATCAAAGGTTTTTACAAAGATAATTCAAGCAGAGGCCCAAATCCTGAGGGCAGAAGACTTTACAGAAGGCATCCCTCAGATGAGCTTTCATTCTGTTCCATGCAAGACCCAGAGGAGATAGAACAGGCCCCACACGCAGCACCCCCGTTTACCCGCCAGCCCAGCATGGTCACAAATGAAACAACAGCTTGATGCTTACACAGCCCGCCCCCAGGCACGGATTCAGCTTGGGTTTCCCCTGAATTCTGCTGCAAATAAACAGATCGGGGAACTTTATTAATGATCCACTCCGGGGTAACGGGCCGTGACCAGCACAGGCTCTGCACACAGCCCTGGTAGCCAGTCTCTAGCTTGCTCACAGCAGAGGACAGGAGACGGCTCTCAGTCCCCTCTGCCTGAGACATCCCGACATCCACAGTGTCGTGATCACTGTTGTACAAAGCTCCAGAGGGAAAATGAAGACCATAAAGCCAGAACGGTAACTCCAATCTCGGCACCTTCAGGAGACCTCAGAGATGCTCAAGGCAGTATTTTTTCTATGAGGAACATTCAACATTGGCAATGACCCAAATGTCCAAAAGTGGGAAATGGCTAAATAAAAGCCTCTTTCGGGCTTGGGAAATCACTGTGTCACTGTGCTTAAGGACCAAGAAATTATACATTGAAGCCTTAGGAAAACCCTAACGCAGCCGTGCACCAAACACAGGGCCATTCTGCCCAGACATGGGATAGCAAATGAATAAACGAGCCAACTTTACAGAACTCGAAGACCAATAGCTGGAAATTATTTCCAGATAATTCAGGGAAGGGTCAGGGTTTGCCTTAGCTTCTGGGGAGGAAGGAGCAAGGCAGTTTTGTTAATACCTACCCTACCTAGGTACCAGGTAAAGCACTTAACCAAGCATTGATCCCCACAAGAGCTCAGTAAAGTAGGCACCACTGTCCCCGCTTTAAAGATGATCTCTGCCTCAGCAAAGTTCCCCAACTCAAAGGATAAGGAGTCAAGACCCAAACTTATGTCTCCCTACTCTAAATTCTTGCTCTAGACTTTACTGACAGCAAATGAGGTTTATAAAAGGAATTTTAAACAGGTAGCTGCTACCCTTGGCCAGGGGCAAGAGCACTTTGCTTAGCTTGAGTAGAAAGATGTGCTTGAAAAGAAAAACACATTTTCCCCCTTGAGTTCTACTCCTAATGACTGAGTAGCTCTCCACTGCCTAGGTGTAGCTTGTTTTCCTGGGGGGAAAGTTTAATAAAAAACCTCTTCGCAGGAGAGCATTGGCCCCTGAGTCACTGTGGTCCATAGTGACTGACTTTAAACTTTATGTGGCAGTAAGTTTCCCTGTTTTCTATCTCCAAGCCAGGAAGGATGTTTTTCCTGCTCTCTAACTCAATGTGCTAATATCGAAGAAGGCAATTTTGTCTCGTTCATTCACTGCCTTAGTATTTAGAGATGTCCATCACTACAGCCACAGAGCTTTACAAGCCCCGAAGACACCAATGCACTGCTTGGTTGTTGTCTGTTGTGTGTTGGGGGGTCATCTTGATAACAGCAGATTAGCACACATTCCACTGGTTTGCCCTTGTTAAGCTGTGAAAGTCACTTTTCTTCTGGAGTCTGTAATTGTCAAACCCTCTCTTCTCATCCACAAATGCATCTCTTCCAGAGGCTCCCACAATCACAGCTAATTTCTCTAGGTTTCATATGGCAGGCATCTGAACAGAATTAAAAGCATAAGCACATGCAAAAATAATCTGCTTCCCAAGATAGTAAATGCTGAGAAGTTCTATATTAGAACACACTGTGAGTGCTGACTGGCTAGGGCATGATTAACCTAATAGGCTTAAAGCTCCGCTTGCCATCCACATCTGTCGAGACACAAGCAAAACACAGGCCCATAATCCATGCGACTAGGTGCTTTGGAATTGTCCCACTTCTCACTAACAGCACAAGGTTCAAAACTTAGAAGGACACAGATGACAGGCACCATTCCTTCCCCACAGTGGGGCCAAGAAGGTGAGGAAAGCTGGTTCCACATCTAGCACCTTGCACCATGGACTTCAAAGGACTTTGGCCTTGAATTGCCTGGATGGATCAGTAAGGCTGCCTCTTGCTCCTATTTCCAAGATGATTCTCTGAAAATTGTGAAAGCTGCGGGTGGACCAGCTGAAATCATGGGCTGCACACCTTCACACAGCGACATTGTAAACAGCGTTGCAAGGAGTGGCATTCAATTTTTGAAAAAGCCCAAAGCAATTTTGCCAGGACACCAGAGGAACAGTAAAAGGGCTTCCGTCCCTTCGCTGGTTAAAAGTTCTACCCACTATGACGCTGTGGGGAGCCCGCCTCAGGGACGAAGGCTGGCAGAGGAGCAGCTAAGTTCCAGCAGGACTCAAACCATGGCTGAAGGTCTTCGTCAGCTCAAGGGAGATAAGGAAGGACTGATGGCAGAGACCCAAACCTCCCACATGGCCGAGGACATTCCATTCAATACACCAGGCTCCCACGGGACCCAAGAGGCAGCCTTTCCCAGGAAAGAGAGTGTGCAAAGTACTACCCAAGAGACCTCCAAATCAGGCCACTGCTGCCAAACCTTCCTCCCTGCTCCGGGTTCAGCAGGCAAAGTGGACTTCCCCGAGCCTCTGGTAAAGGCTCACCAGCATACTTACACCTACCTGCACTCCAGCCTCTCCAAGTATGAAGCAATCGTGTGCCTCATCCATCAGACCATCCAGACCCGGGAGCTGCTGCAGCCCATGCTCCACTTCCTGCTGCTGTGCTTTGAGGAGGTCAGCCAGCTCCTGGGGGAGATCTCTAGAGATGGAGAAGCGCTCCTCCAGGAGGTTAGGGACAATCTGATTTGGCCATTGAGGAAAGGAGAGCCCCAGGCGCAGCCAGACCTCCTGCAACAGCTCCTTCAGTACACTGTCAGCAAGCTACAGATGCTCCATGGCACGGTGGCCCCCCTCACTGGCAACTCCCTGGAGGGCTCCAGTGGCTACCTCTACTCCACCGCAAGCCACTTGGAAAATAAGCTGAGCACGAAGAGGGGTGTGGAGGAACGTCTCCTAAGGACACTGGTGCAGCTAGAGAGCTTCACGAGTGGCCATGCTGACTCTGGGCTGCACGATCTACCCTTGTGCTCCGAGGACAGTGGCATCGGTGCTGACAACGAGTCCGTGCAGTCCATAGACAAGCTGGGGAAGCAAGCCAGCTGGGACTTGGCACCAGAGCCTGTAGAATGGAACCTGAGGACTTCACCTCAAATGGAGACCAGTCTGTCAGGACAGGCCTGGCAGCAAAGTCCATTCCAGATGGGTCCCGACAGAGCCCAGGACTGCCCACTGTCAAGGCCTCCCATGACAAAGGTTCAGCCAGCAACACAGGGTGAAGCAAGGAGGCCATGCCCCTCCAGCACAGGCCCAGAAACAATTACCTCCAGGCCTGTGGCGGTGGGCAAGAGCATGCCTTGCGATTCTCTGGGGATTGCCGCCCCCACGAAAGCACATCTTCCTGAAAGCTCCAGGCTGATGGCTATGCTATCCCTCAGTGAAGGTGAGGACAGCAGCCCGGAGGAGGAGGACAATGAAGTTAGCAGCATGAGTCTGTGCACAGGGCAGGAAAGAGCCCCACATTCAAGGCCACAGTCTTCACCCGCTGACAGGGAAAGCCTCTTTCAGCCACGCTCCAGGAAGCTTAGGAGCCCCCAGGCCCGGGAGATGATTCTGAAGATGAAAGAAGCCATCAGTGAAAGGATCAAGTTTGTCCCCATCCCCTCTGGACATCAAGACTGGGCTGAGGAAGAGGAGGGAAGGACAATGGTCCCACCAAGACCTAGCACGGTCAGCGGCAGCAGGAGGGCCCCCGAGAGGCAGAGAAGGTCCCAGTCAGAGGGGTGTCTTAAAGAACACCAGGAAGACCCTACTCTCCAGGAGCTGCAGAGGGTCCAGGGAGATCTCAGCCAGAGGCTGGAGATGTTTTATGCCTTGGATGCTAAACGGCAGGGGCAGAAGAAGGAGCAGATTCTACAACCCAGGCCAGCAGCTCTGAGGCTTACCAGCAACTACAGGGTGAGCCCCAGCAACACCGTCAGCAAGCTCAAGGCGTCCCTCACCAAGGACTTCAGCATCTTGCCTAATCAGGACAAGAACATTTGGCAGAGATGCGGTCCCCACCCTGAAGGTGAACAGCCCTGGCGGGGAAACACTGAGAAGCTGCCAAACAGCACCCCGTCAGGTGAGAAGGACAGCGAGGCTGCCAGGGCCAAGGACTGGATGGTCAGGGGATGCCCCACCAGAACATCAGTCAAAAAACTTATTGAAACTTTCAGTCCCGCCGAGAGTACAAGGACACCAGGGGACACTAAGAACTCAGGGTCAAGCCCCTGTCTCAGGAGGTGGGGGGTACCCATCATGCCTCCCAGATTTCCCATTTACAGGGGGCTTGCTCCTTTGTATCCCAAGCCCCAAATTTCTCCAGCAGTGGGCAGCAGCTATCTCAGAGCTGACATACCCTGGAGGCCCTTGGCGCCGGTCTTTCCTCCTTTGCCTGCGGCAGAAGCATCTAACAGTGAGGGGACACACTGTGAAACAGAGGAGGACTCAGAGCACCTCCCTCCACCGCCTCTGGAAATCCTGATGGACAGATCATTTGCCTCTCTGGAGCCTCCAGAAGGCAGCAAACCAGCAGAAAGCTCCCCCGAAGGGACCCCGGCACCAGGACTGGGAGGATCTGGTCCTGCCAGAGGAACATGGGCTTCCTCAAAGCTGAGAGCCTCCATGAGTCCCATCAACTTGCTGCCCAACAAGGGCACTGCCAGCCCCAGCAAGCTGTGCAGCACAGGGCTGGGGAGCACCAAGAGCAGCAGCAATCCCAGAAAGCTTGCCTTGGATTCTAGCCTCCCACCAGCAGCCAGCCCTGACTCAGAGCGGGAGGGCAGGGCCCAGAGTCAGGCACAAGCAGCGAAGGCCACAAGCGCCTCCAAGCATCCCTGGAAGGCAGTTGCCTGGCACCACACCAGCCTTACATCTGGGCAAAGCAGGACCTCAGAACTTAGCCTGGCCAGACCCACTAGAAGAACTCATTCTACACAGGCCTCCAGGCTGAGCCGAGAGAGAAGTCCCCCGGTGGTCAGAAAAGCCTCTCCCACAAAGGCACACCGGGTGCCCCAAGCAGACAAGAGACTGCATGGCCTTCCCTCCTCCCATGGACTCGCCCAGTCAAGTCTCCCCACTGTGATCAGCTCCCCCAGCCCACCACTCAGCCCTGGGGCTCCCAGCCCACCAGTGAGCCCCAAGGTGCTAAGTCCACCACCAGCAAAGAAAGGACCTTCACCGCCCCAACACAGGTCTCCCAGCCTGCCTCCAGGGAGCCCTCCTGCACAGAGCACAGAAGCAAGCTCCCTTTCCTCTGTCCCCTCCCTGTCCCCCCCAGCATCCATATCTTGGGGGCAGAGGGAGACAGGAGACTCTGAAGACGGTCAAGTCCCCTCAGCCAAGGTATCTGCCATATTCTGCCCAGCCACATCATCTCTGTTTGAAGCCAAATCAACAGCTCGCCCACTGACCCCACAGTCACTGCCACCAGAGCCTGGGGCCCCTCTAGGGACCCAAGCAGTATGCAGTTCAGGACCACGAATGGGAGCAGATTCGCAGAGGAGAACGGCTCTGTGTTCCCTCAACCCCCTGCCTTTCGTCAGAAGGACAGCACCCCGCCACCAGCTGGGTATCCAGCTTCAGCTGCCCAGTTCCAACCTCGCTGGCACCTCTTCGGAATCCCAGCTCAGCCAAAGCAGGTAAGAAGTGCCATTGATCCACTATCCTCCGGGTATTTGGAAGGGAGAAGAGCACAGGGAGTGGGCCCTAGGGATTGTCTGGGTCAGCAGTTCCCATACTGTGCTCCAAGAGAAGAGGCAAGTGGGAAAGAGAGGTATGGGGAACAGGGTGCTCCCCTCTTCCACTATGAGAGACTGAGCTTTTTTCTGGAACACATTGGGTTCCTGAGAAAGATTTTTAATGCAAAGAGGCTCTGTTGTAATTTTTTAAGTTTGTAAGCACCAAATTAGTGCTACATAACACCCCCTTATTGTGTAGATGACAGAGTGGGGAAACCACCTGCCAATGGCCAGCTCACTCCAGCTCTGTCTGGACCCAGCAGCTGGATTCTGTTGCTTTTATTCACTGGATCCAGTGAACTGTCCAGTCACTAACTACCTGGTGAAACTACTAAAAATTATTGAGAACCCAAAAGAGCCCCTGGGTATGGGATATAGTCTACACATTTTTACTATAATAGAAGTTAAAACTGAGAAATGTGTGAACCTGTTATTAGCTATTTGTTAAAGACTAAACCATTTCCATGCTAACACAAATAACACATTCCTACGGAAAGCCTGCTTTCTGCAACAACCACAAAACTTAGTCAAAGGAGTGGCCCTGTCTTCCATTTTTGCAAACTTTGTTGGTGTCTGGCTCAATGGCTGGGAAGACAGCTGCACCCTGAGATCTGCCCCTGCAGCCAGTCTGTGACCATATCACCCATTATATGGGCTCTGGAAACTGATCCCACTTTCCTGAGAATAAGCAAGAAGGGCAAGTATCATCTTCATATTATAAAGGAAATAGGCTTCCTTGAAAGCATCTTGGGGTACTCAGGAGTCTGCAGCCCACGCCTTGAGAATGGCTGGTCCTGGAGGTGTAGAATAGAAGTGTCGGGATTCCCATTCCCCTCAGGACCTAGCTCCACCTCTCCACCAACTTCAGAGGTTTGTGACATATGAACAAGATGCTTTATGAGTGCCAAGTACCAGAATCTAGGCAAAGAGCGGCCGTCCCTGCCCTTGGCAGAGTGCGTTCTGACTGTGGCTTTCTCCGCAGGAGCAAGTGACTTGCACGTGGACGGCAGGCCTACAGACAGGCACACAGCCACAAGGGGCCATGAGTCAGGATAGCCACTGCGTGAGCACCGAAAGGATCACTCGTATGCTCTAGTGGTTATTTTACAGACTATATGGGGAAAATGTCAACCAGAAGCCTGTTAGAGAAGAGTTCTTTTCAGTGTGTCTTGATACAGATCAGACAAAGCTCAACCAACAGCAGTTCTTGCTGTCTCTGTATTAGCCACAATTGTGTAAATCTGTGTTTAATTTCTGCACATGTGACACATGTTACAGCCCTCACAATCTGTCCAGGCAAAAGTGATAATTTTTTACAAAGTACTCGGCAGTCAATTTTTAGTAAAGATATTATCTCAGGAAAGTTGGGCATGATAATAGTTATATAAACTTCCCCAGCCACTTGAAAGAAATGAAATATTGATTATTTTTGCAAGAATCTTAATGTAACGTTGCTCTTTTCTTAAATCTAAAGTGGGCTTCCTACAGCACAGCGGCTTTCATCTAAGAACCTCTATAAATGTTAATGTATTATTCCTCTCACCAGCTACTTATTCAGTTATTAGATTTCTAAAACTGTGCCCTTCAGGAGAAGAGCTTGAGAGAACAGGGACAATAAAACGGCATTAATTAAAAACACTAACATTTTAAAACAGCAGGAGCTATAAAGTTGTTCAAGAACATAAAATTGTTCAAGAAGAAAATAATGCCCTTTTCTCGGGCTTCTCCTCGGAATAGAGCAGCCTAAACGGTTGTTTTATGCCCTGAATCTCAATCTTTGGGGGGGAAGGAGGGTTCCTTATAGCTTGAAAAAGGAGCCTGCCCAAGGTCACATGGAAGGTCAATGACTTGTACCCATTCCCCTGCCTCTTGGCATGATCATGTCTCTAAGCCGTTCCACACAAAGAGCTCACCATAGGAAAATGCTCAGCGCCACCCCAAGGTGTGAATTTGGTGTCCAGAGGCACAAACATTAGCTGTATTGCAGCAAGGCTTTGCCTCTCTGTAGAAGGCGAGCATATTTTTCTGCCAGCCTACATAGGGGAACAACACTAGGGACCTGGACACAGCCTTCCCAAGATCATGCACAAGGGCTTGCAGGGGCACGACTGCGCCCGCTGGGTCTTCCAGTGAGGCAGGCTTGCAGGAGCAACTGGCCTGCAATCTGCTTTGACTCCTGTCCATCACCCCATGCTAGGGATGAGTCTTTTGAAAAAATAAAAGTGATGTTTATGTCCTCCTTGCCGTGGGGCCCCAGTCCCTGGAGGCATCCTCTGCTGAGCTTCAGCTGTCAGGTGCCCAATCCCTGCGAGAGATCAGTCTCTAGGTCTCAGAGCGTTGGGGTACTGTGTGCACTCAGAAGGGTCTAGCGTGCCTCCTCTAAGTGTGGTGCTTCTCCCTTTTCCTGGCCTGAGCTAGTGAGGCAGCGGCTCTCTGCAGCCCCCACTTAGTTCCTGTCTCAGGTTGCTCTGTGGCCAGCAGTTCCAGGAAGAGGTAAAACCACAGCCACAGGGTGACAACCAGGAAAAGCAGCCACCTGGCCCGCACTTCAGGCACATGTGGAACCCGGGTGGAGGTAAGACAGAGAGTTCTGGTCCAAATGGTTTGCCAGGCCACCTGCAAGGCCCAGGGCGGCAGGCCGTGGGCTTTCTCCAGGCTTCCCTTCGGGTTCCTGCCAGCCGCTCCAGGTGAGGTGCAGCAGAGGGTGGGCACAAACCTTCCCTCGCCTCAGGGTTCAGGGGGAAGGACAGAAGGGGCAACTGTGGCCCATTAATCATACTGGGCTTTGAATACCTGCAGGGGCCTGAGATGGGGCCAGACACCAACACAGATGAGACAAGCTTGAAGGCACGTGGTAGGCTCCTCGCTGCCTGAAAGCCATGGACCTGTGCCACCCCTCCCACCACACCCCGCCACACGTAGGTGCTAGTTACCCGCTATGAGATTTACACGCTTTGTCCAATATTAATACCTGGGAGATGGGTACTCTTACGATTTCCATTTTACAAAGAGAGAAACCAAGACTCTGCTGGGTTATTTGACATGCTACAGGGCACACAGCTAGGATTTGGAACCCCTGGAGCCAGAGTCCAACCTCCACGAGGTAGTTGGAGGCCAGTCTGCCAGCAGATAGCCGACGTGGCTATCAGAGTTGGTCTCCTCTACCTGACTTGTTCCCTACCTTGTGCCAACCTCCCTTCTGCTCTTCCAAAGCTTGCCCAGTCAGACTGAGGACCATGCGGGGGTCCCCTCCCAGAACACAGCCCCTCTTGGCTATATCGCTCAACAGCTGGGAAACTCCTTTCTAGCCAAATGCGGGGCAAGGCTGGGCCGAGCAGCTTCTATTTCATTCCATTCAGGAAAAGGGCGGCAGCTGTGAAAGCAGGGTTATTGTTGTTGTTAATTCAACTAGCTAAGCCTCGTCCTTTAGTAAACAAGAAGCGCATTAGAAACAAAAACAAAATAAAGGCCCAGCTCCCAGAGCTCCTGAGGCAGTTGCTTTGTTCAGAGCAGCAGGATCTTGGGCCCAGGGAAAGAACAAGATTCAGCCTGTGAGCTGAAGACCTGAGAGCTGGTTCCCACCAGGCCCAACCACAGCAGGTGGGAAGGTGAGCACAGAGCAAGGACAGCCCAGTCCGACAAGCCTGACACAGAAAGACAGGGGCTGGTGCCAAGGATGAGCCACTGGGCTTCGTGTGAGAGGGCTCTGAGGAACACACACAAGACTGCAGGGGACGGGGAGGGAGTGGGGAGGAACAGCAGAGGAGGGTGTGCGCTGACCTTGTTCTTTCTTTCTGCAGCAGCAGCAGCAGCAGCAGCAGCAGCAGCAGCAAGGACAGCCCCAAGCAGGATATGGCACCTTGGAGCAGCTCCTGTGCCCCAGAACTGCAGAGCAGTGGCGGCAGACAGGCATCTCCCCCAGAGCTCTATGTACTTGGCCATGGGCTGCAGCCGGAGGCCCGCACCAGCCGTACCCAGAATAAATGTCAGCTTGAGGAACAGCCCCAGAACAAGGAGGTGATTCCAGTCACCCCAGCAGGCCCAAGGTGACAGCCAAGAACCTATACTGCCCCTGGATGGTAGGCAAACCGACTCCCACAGGGGCATCCTGGAGTGGCCTTGAAAATGTACCACTGTTCAGTGGGTCTGCTAAACTTTAATCAGTGGCAGTTCTCAGTTCCAAATCCTGCTTTGCCTTTGTGCTCAAAGGTTAACCAAAATGTTGGACCCCAAGGTGACACTTTTCAATCCTTCAAGGGCTAGCCTTAATTTAGGAAAGGAATACAGCCCATGCTCAAAGGGCTAGGTAGTTTACATGCTAATCATGGAATCATTTAATCCTCACAACAATGAGTGAAATAAATAGCATCCTCCTGTTTTGCGAATAAGAAAGCCAAAGGTGTTGGGGGAGCCCTCCTCAAGTATCTTGTCAGAGTCCTACAGGTAAGAAGAGAACAGAGAAAAGCTTGGCACAGACGTGACTGGCCCTTGGATCTCTGCTGTTTTCATTACATTTCGTTTGCCTCATATTCCATCACCCGCCCTGCCTACCACGCACACAATTCTACAAACGGTGGGAAAGCTTTGTTTTTAGAAGGCTGAGCGATGGCAGATCGCTGAAGTTCCCAGAAGAGCTTTGTTTATGAAGCTAAGTGCTCCTGACACGAGGTGGCTGTGGTGGATGAGAACACACAGTCCCACCCACTCTCCACTCCTGCTTCCTGAGCTCAGCCCCAGTGCCATCAATTCAGAGCTTTCAGCTCCCAGCAACAGCCATGCTGCCCTTGGCCTCGGCTCGTATCAAATGCTCTCGCCGCCCAACACACCCACACGCCCAAGCCTGCCAAACAAGGCTCCTATTCTCTGCACCAGGTGGGCACCAGAGCTTGTGAGACTAAGTGGGTGAGACTCACACACTCGCGTGTCTGTCTCCTCCTGAGGCTTCTTGGCCAAGTTTATTCCCAGGTCATCTGCAAAACTTCTACTGGAGATCAAATGAAAGCAAAGAATGGTGGCTCATGCCAGAAAACTGCTTCTGCCAATGAGCCTGATATTTGCTGCAGATCTTGGAATTTTTCCATCAGAGGCTGTGGAGCACTTTCTATTTAGAAAAGAATTTTCAATAATTGGGTGATTCAATGCCAGCTCAGTGGGTTGTCAAAGACAAGAATTCTCACCCACGAGTACAGCTAAGAGGCAGTCCTCCAGATCTGCTGCAAAGCTGATTTTTTAAATTTGGGGAAATTATAGACCTCAAATCCTTTCTTGTTGAAATAGATCATGGGCTCAAGAACATGTTAACCTGGGTCCTAGGGACTCCAGCTAGCTTCCCCCAGGGACAGGCAATGAATAAATGCATCTCATTTGACTTGTCTAGTTATTAACATGGGGGTGACAGGGCTTATCTCTTTAAAGACACTTCAAGAATCAATGATTATATTACCAAGAGGGGCTACACTCACCCTCTATATTGGAAAATGTGTGTGCATGGCCAGCTATGTGCTCACATTTGCTAGTGTGGCTGCATTCATCTCAGGGCACACTCAGGTCGCAGCCAGACCAAGCTGGGTGGGTGCCTGGGAACCACCTGGGCTGCAGGCCATGGGAGTGGCTGAGGAAGAGGCAAGTACCTGAGAATAAACCAGGTTCAGGAGACCTGCTTGCCATCGAGCTGGGCTGTCCCCAAATGGTTGGGCAGGCAGTGTGGGAAACAAGGAAGTGGGCCCGGGGTGACCTGGGCCCAGCTGAGCAAGCGGAAAGCAAATCTTTTGAGTGGCCTGTAAGATCCAGCTCACAGGTAAGTGGCTTCGGAGAGCACTGGTCAGGAGGGGTTTGCACCCTCTGCTAGGGTGTAGAGACAGGATTCCTGGAGGGCCAAAGATGCAAGCAGAAACCCAGATGCAGGGACTGCACAGAAACACAGTGGGTGAAACACAAGGCCTCGTTTCTGAAAGCAGGATTCAAACAAAGCCAGATCAGCCAGAAGGGAAGTGAGATGAGTCACCTGCTTAGGCCGCCCTCCTCTGTTGTAGGAGGTTGGGGTAGGCTGAGAGCTTTGTTGGCTGAGTCCCCTTCCCCCTCAACTGTGGTGATAAAAGATAGATGTGGGCAGCTAGGAGCCAGGGACCATGTTACATCATAGACGGTCAGCACCATAGAGAACCCCCAGGAGAGGCTAGCGCGAACGACAGCTGCCCTCTGTGAGTGTACATGGCAGGACGCTCCCTGAGGCTGCCCCTCCCCCTGGCTATGCTGGCAAGGATCACGCTCACTCCTGCCACATTGCGGTCAGCAGAGAAGGGGACAATAGCTTCTAGTTTATGCCATCACCCGTGGAGAGATGATGACGGCTCCTTGTCCCTCTGGAGGACTTCTTCACTTACTGAGAGCCTTCCTGCCCCAGGATGGTGCTAGCTTCCTGCCATCTGTCCCTACAGGTGATATAAATGAGAGGCCTAGGCTGCCACCAGGTCCAGGCAACAGGGCAAGACCAAGTGTCACCCCTTGGATAGTCCTACGGCCCCAAAGCCTTGGGAATTCCAAGTCAGTTCCTCTTGGGGGAGATGAAAAAGGTTACCAAGGCCCAGGAGCTGGGGTCTGCAGACAACGAAGATCAAAATTAAAGTACTGCTGAGCTGGCACAAGAGTGGATGTTTCAAAGATGTGGGTGGTTCGGTTGGTTTGCTTGTTTGTTCTTTGGGAGGGGTTGTTTTGCCACCATGCTAACTTCACCTAGCGTAAGTTACATGTGAATCAGACTTCGCACAAGAGACATTAAATCCACCACAACATTCCAGTTTTTTGGCATTAATTCGTTGTTCCTCCAAGACCCGGCCTTTCCCTGAACCCATACCTATAGTTCTGCCTTGGAGAGCCCATTGCTGGTGGCCATGACAGGCAAGTTCATTGCTGCACCTTTCAGAGGCCATTCTTGCTTTCCTTGCCCCCTCTCCAGCAAAGAACCTTATATTTTCCGGGTCAAATCTACTTCCTTTACTTGAGAGAGGCCAGAAGACAATTTTTCTTTGTTTTTCAGCTAAACCAATGGACCCAACCTGAAGGACACATGAGTCCTTACATTTGTTTTCTTTATAGTTAGAAAACAGGAAGGAACATTGGGTATAAAGACAAGGAGAGGAGCCCCCAGAGATCTTAAAGGGGTACGTATCACACCCATATTCTTGCTTGGGCTAGCTTTTTCTGGGGGTTTACAGCTTTCACCCTCCATACTTGGGAGAACCCCAGAGCTGTGGAGACAGAGGCACTTAGCCAGGCCTTTATCCAACACATCAGTAAGATAGCAAACAGACTTGCCCCAAGGGAAAAACAATTTTCTGGTTCCATCAAAGGGATTCATGAAGGAAAAAAAGTAAATATAATGGTCTGGCAGAACAGTGATAGCTTTTGCAAGTATAAATACAATCCTCCAGATAAAATATAACCTTTCTCTGCAGCTTGGGTCTCCGCTGGTTTTTACTATAAGCAGCATTTATTTTCCATCCTCATATCACATACACCGTCCAACACCCAGAATAATCCACACTGATAGAAAATGAAGGCAGACAGGCCAAAGAGACACTTCTTTCATTGTGAAGAACTCACGTCTGACAAGATTTGCTTCATAAATTCTATGATGTGACTGAAAAGGATTTCAAGAACTATATTCTTTTTCTAAAATAAAACAGCATTTTGCATGTATCAGGGGAGCCAGTATGGTGAATTATACCTGTTGACATGTTTGTCAATTGATCATCTGCGTGGATGCTTACAAGCTGCCAGACACCCACTCTATCTTCCAAAGGAAATCTTTTCAGAGGTAATATATTTTTAAGTAGCCCCACACCAAAGATTCCGGTGAACTGCCATAAAGTATATGTGTTCTGAGCCTATATTAACAGCACATGTTATATTGTACTATCATTTGCTCCCTGTGCCTACCTGAAGTTTAAATAAGTTCCCATCAATCCATCCTGACGTTTTTATGAAATGTAATTAAAGATGCATTGGGCACAAAGAGGAGCAAACAGTTAATTCACTCAGCACTCTAATTCAGTTTTATGAAGAAGCCTGGACTCTGCTGGCTTGGTTACACTTCTGGATTCTAGAAAGTAACTTCACAGATAAGAAGTCTCTGGGCCCGGCATCCAGTGATGATTGCTTCTACTGATCTAGCCATGGCTCTGAGGCTGTCTGTCGTCTCAGACACTCCTGAAGTCCAGCATTTGGGGCAGTCCCTGATTTTGGCTCAAGTAACAGCACTAGCCACGCTCAGTTAGTGCCTATAGACAAAACTGATGTCCTCCATGGGAGGACAAAGGACCAAAAAAAGAGAGAGGAGAAAAGGAAAGGAGGGATGCGGGAAAGTGCGGTTACTCACGCGCCTCTGGAAAACTGGGGTGAGGAGCAGAAGCCTGGGTCCTGACACCTCCCTGACCCCACTGTGACCAGGCTTCCCTGGGCCTGCTCTTCACCCAGAAAGCAGTGACTGCAAAGCCAGCCCACTTCTCCTGCCACCTGCAAGACCTGCGCACGGAGCCTTCTCCTAAACCACCTTGTGAGCCATCTTGGGAAACTGAACTCCGAATCCGCTTGTCCATCCTCATCATTTTCTTTAATTTTGTTTTTAATGTTTACTTCTCCCCATCTCTGCACTTTATGATTCTTATTAAGAAAAGAACTCCGTTTTGTTTCTCCCACATTCTAGAGCTGCTAGTTGATCCTTAGAGAAAGTTAAGAACAGCTGTCAAGCCCAGCAAGAACTGACTTCCTCCTTTGAAGGTCTCTGCGTCTTTCAAAGTGAAAAGACGTGAGAACATTTTGCTGGCAAGCACTAACCCATGTGCCAAATATACCAAATGGGAAAAAACACCAAATGAAGCTTGTGAATCTCATTCACCCCCCTGTGGGGTCTTAGGATTGTCTGGACAATCATTTTGGGTGCTAAATAGCAGGTCTGACAGAGCTGAGGCTTGAGTGAATAATAATTATACCTTTCCTTGTATGCAACACCCTACCCTTCCAAAATACTGTTGTCTAAGAGAAAGGGTAAAGGAAGGAAGGGAAAAGGAAAAACAAAAAAAATACACATATACACAAGATGGTTAAGATAGTTTTTCTTAGCTCATTGAGAAGAAAGTTTTGTGCTAATACTTCTGTGGACAGTATTTCATGCCTATATCTTGTGCTTTTAACAACTACTATGAATATAACAATACCCAATGTATTAATTATTGTTACTCCCCTACTAGACTGTTTTGAAACTGTTTTATTGTTATTTTGACTTTTTTCTGTGTAAAAATTTTTTTAAATACCCAAAATACAGTTGTCTACATTGTTTCATTACATTTTAGAGGAAAATCCTATGAGATTATGAACAAAGTATTTTTTTCAATACCGTTTACAAATGAATAAAAACAAATGAGGTTGAGGGCTGACCTCTGTCTCGTTCTAGAACATGCACCAACTAGTGGCAAAACAAGCTTCCCAGACCTCAGGCTCCATTCCAACACTGCTGCACCCACTGCAAGCGGCATTCAGATCGTTACAGGGGGCAGCTCTACAAAGAGCTGTCTTCGTTTTTGGTTTTGTTGTTGTTGTTGCTGTTGTGTGGGGTTTTTTTTTAGACAAGGTCTCCATATGCAGTCTAGACTGGTCTTGAACTCACTGTGACCCTCTTGCCTCAGCCTCCTGAGTGTAGAGTTATAAGCGTATACCACCACACCCAGCAGTACAGTCTTATTTGGGGAGAAAAAAAAAAAAAAACTCCATTTTCTCCAATACTTAGAAATAGGAAATTATTTTTCATATCCACTCAAATTCCTGCTGTAATTTTAACCATTCCTTTTAAACTAGTTTGGATGGAAACTCAAAATTCCCAAGGGAATTTTAAACCATAATCCCCTCGACAAACTTCTGCCACTCCCCTCCTCCAGCGTCCTAGACACACATACCTATCAAACTGCTTCTAGCATTAAGGGAGAAGGAAAATTCTTTTCCCAAAAGGTCTTTGGTTCTCATTGCCATGACCCCCCGCAGTGGTTTCCAGGTGAAAATCCCCCAGAAACAGCAGCGGCAGCCTCCTTCCTTCCGGAGCCAGCACGGACTTTATTGCAGTGCCCCAGAGTGGTGAAAGTCTGCAGATGAAACGGAAGGGAATGCAGATCCCGTGAAACAAACTGCCTTCATGAAAATTATTTATCTTTTTTCCTCCTTTGGAAGGGGATGGGACTGGCTGTGTTTATAAAACCTGGTGACTTTTAAAAGCTATTGTTTCACTAACAGCTTCTGACACCAGCCCCAGAGGTGCTGGATCGCTTTCTGGATGTAAAAATTCTCAAGGAGAACCCAAGGTGATGCTAATAACAGCTGTCAGCCGGCAGAGAGGTAATTATAAAGCCATGATTAAAACAAAACAAAACCTTCTAGTGTTATAGCCTTTCACTGAAACACCAGGCGACAGGACACTGGAAACCAGACCACCCCCTGAATAAATTCCAGGAATGGTGACCAAACAGCCCCCACATTGTCCCTGACTCAGAAACACCAACCCAGAGAGTGCTGTGTGCGGCTGCGGCTGCGGCTGTGGCTGCTGTCCTGCCTGGAGCCCGGCTAGGAGCAGTCACCACCCTGGGAGATGCCTGATCATTTGCAGATGCTGAGGCCCTTCCCTCCAGAGGCAGCTATCTCCTCCTGTCCTCCCCCAAGCAATGCTTTAGCCATGTTTGGGAATTCTGGTTTAGGGTAGCCAACTCCCAGGTATGGCGTAGCCTGTGTACTTGACCAGAGCATCACTATTGGAGTAGAGGTCTTCAACCCTAGGCACAGAATCGGGGAGGTTCTCATCCAGCAAGTCCAGCACACAACCCAGGGATCTGCACCTTACTGAGCACCATGGGTGATGCAAGCAACCCATCCACCACTCTTAGTGCCTGTACTGTCTCCACGCCAACAGCCCCAACTAAAAGCACACCTGAAGCTGTACCTTTCCAAAGCAATTATAAAGCTTTAGCACTCACCTGCCTGCCTTTGCATCTCTGCCAGCATGGCAGTGAGCTATAGCAAGTTCTAGAGAGTCTGCTTCTCCCATCTAGTTGGTCTTCATTTATTTGCATAACTCCTATTCCCACCAGAGGCCATGTTTGGACAGCCAGGTGTCCACAGCACAAGCTGATGACCAGAGCTGACCAAGCAAATTCTCTTTGCCCTGAAATTTTCAGGGCAAAACTCCAGGAATCCATGGGATTTCAACCAATCCTTTCAAAAGGCTCCAACTGGCCTAGGGGAGGCAGAATCTTAGAGCAATAGAACTTCCTAGAAGAAAAGGTCAGGGGCTTTAGAGTCAAAGGGACCTGAACATATATCCAGCCACTCTCCAACTGTCTTGGGGCCTGACTCCCAAGGTGAGGTTTCCACCAGACCTGCAGCATCTGCATCATTGGGAGCTTGTTGGAAAAGCCGAATCTCAAGCCCCGCCCATCCTGCCAAATCCACATCTACAACTTAACAAGACTCCCAAGGGGCTCTGGGCACCGGCTCAGGTAGCTGACTAAGCATTTCTGAGGTTCAGTTTCCTCATAAAGATATATGAGACATAATCTCTTCAAGGATGTCGAGAAGAGTGACAGATCCACAACATGGGACACATTCACTTCTAAGCCCAGCTCCTCCTCCTGTCTCCCATTTCTGGTCTCCATCTTCCTCCCTCCCCAAGAATACAAGATCTGCAGTTACCCTCCTCAGCTCCCCTTTGCTTTCAGAGTGGCAGAACTGAGTATAATAAAAGGAAAATGCTTTTGGTTAAAAAGCTCTGTGCTCTCCAAGCCGTCCCACCTCAGCTGCAAGAGAGTACAGGAGGAGTGGGGGGCGCAGGAAGGGAGAAGGTGGGAGGGATGGGAAGGGGCAATGCCAAGGGCAACCGTGAGGGCCGGGAAGTGAGGAAAAGGGACAGGGGGCTGGAGAGAGGACAGGTCCCCTAAAGATGGAAGGGTCCTGACTTCCTAGCAGAGAGAGCAGAGCAAGCCCATTCTTGAAGACAAGCTCCACAGGCTAATAGTGCCTCTCAGGTTCCATGAAGCCGCAGCACTCTCTCTCCTTCCAAGGCGAAGGGCAACAGAGCCCCCACGAGACCCCATCACTAGCTGCTCTAAAGCAATGGCCCTCAAAACATCGTGTTCATGTTCAGCAAGTGCTCCTGTGCCCGTGGCCTTGTGCTAAGTAATTTACAAAACTATCTCATTCCTCTTCGCAGCAGCCAGGCGAAGGTGGGTGTTGTGATCACACAGCACCATCACCGCCTGGTCGCGTAAGCTGATGAGGAAGATGAAGATCAGAGAGTTTGATAATTGATTCCAAAGTCACATAGCAGCAAGCCGCAGTACACGAACCGGAGCCCGGCCTCTCTGACTCTAAGCCCAGGACACCCCAGGACTGTGAGGTGAGGGGAACTGACAGGCCTGTGACCCACAGGGCCAGAACCATTGCGGCTTCTCAACTCGGTTCTAGATAGAATCACCTGGATGGGGCTGGGGGGGAGAAGGAGTAAGAAGGGGGGGAGAGGAAGAGGAAGAAAAGGAGTGGGGGGAGAAGGGAGGCGGAAGGGAGGAAGGAACAGGGGGAGGGGGAGACAGAGACAGAGACAGAGAGAAAAACAGAAAGTTAGCTGCCTGGGCCCCACCCCTGACCCGCTGAATAAACCCCTGGTGGGGAGGGACCCAGTAGATGCCACCTTCTTTACATCTTTCCAGATGAATCTGCAGCACCCGGCAAGTAAAGATTCACTTACTCTCCTAAAAGGCAGGAGATGAAAAAAGGAAGAGCAAACAAGAGGCAGGCTGAAGGCAAAGTTTCCTAAAATCTCAAAAATGCCACTTGAGGTAACAGGGAGGCCTGCCAGTTACAGTCCTCGGATAGGTCCTGGTCTGTCATTCTCACACAGAGGGGACAGGGAGAGGAGGAAGAAGAAAAAGCGGAAAAGAGAAAGAAAGGGAGAAGGAGAGGCGCAGGAGAGACTGTGTCCCCAGGAGCATTTCCTGTAAGCACTTTCTCACCCACACAAAGCCAAGCAAAGAATGGGGTGGGCTCAGCTCCCGTCCACCTTGGCTGGCTCCCCAGAGCTGACCTCCCACTGGGGTCTCACTGGTGCTCCCCAGAGGCCCAGGACTAGGGAACCATGGGATATCCTCCCTGCTTCCTAATCCATGATGTGGGGGAAATTCCCCAATCTACGCCAGAGCCCCAGCCCTTCCCAGCAGCAGTGCTGGGCTGGGGTGTGTCTGGCAGAGCCCTTGCTGCCCACAGGAGATTAAAACCTGAAATAATGAAGGGAACAGAGTGGTGCAAAGATTTATTCTTTGCTTTTCTATTAGTTTTCGGTTGTTTATCCGCCTCCGCCCATGAGGGCGGGTTCAGAACTGTGGGAAGCTTCCTCTTTGAGAAGACAGGAAAGTGCAGTCGAAATTAGTTTCTGCCTTCCAAATCCTGGCCAGGCTCTGTTTCTGGGCTCTTTCAGTTCTGAAAACTCCTGGAATATTCTGATCTGTTCTAAGATCTTGACAAACAGAAAATGCAGGTCTCCCAACCAAACCCCAAAAGCTCACAAGCAAACACAATTAATTAAACTGTATAAAGCCTTTCAAACATTTAAAATCAGCCTTTTGATGGCCCGCTCTATAGCAGATCTTCAGCCGGGCTCAGCCAGAATTGACAAAGAGCAAGGAGGTCACAGAGAAGCCCCTGCTGGGGTCACCGCCAGGTGAGCAGCCAGAGTCACCAAGTCACACCCAAGCAGACTGTTCAAAGCCAGGCACGAATAACTTGGAAGTGCTCCTCCTCGATCCAGGGTACAGGGGGACCTGGCCGTGCTCCACCTGGCCACAAGGCTTCCAAAGCCAGGCTCCCCAGGAGGAGTTCAGAACATGGTATGGAATTGATGTTCTACCCGGGGTCAGGTGATAGCGGACTGGAGTTCCCCTGGTGGGGCCTGCCGGAAAACCTGCTGGCCCTCGGCCATCTGGATCTGTCCATAGCTGTGGCTGCTCCCCTCATCTTACCAGTCTGCTGTGCCCATGTCTGAGGTAATGACCTGAGCTCTAATTCTGGTCAACCACTGGAAACTTACCACTGGCCCCACCAAGGCCAAATGGGTCCAGAGCCTGAGCCCAGGATGGTCCCCTCCCCGGCCGGAACACGTTTCCCAGCTTCTCCACCAGCGCCAACACCTCTCTCTGCTTCCTCATGTCCTGTGCCCACTGCCCCTCTCGAAAGAGTCATGATTCAGCCACCTGCAGTAGATTTCTGAGCTTCCAGTGACCTCGGAGTGATATGCAGCCTTCATGCTCTACCAAGTGTTTTGCTTACCATGTTTCAGAGGTGAAGCATCTTCTAATCCTTGTTAGAGCAAGCCAAGGCTTTAGTGATTCACATGTCAAATTCCCCTGACCTCTTGATAAGCCAGGAAGATCATGCCAGAAGGTCCCATTGGACCAACAGACACTGTCCTGCAGAGTGCGTAGGGCTAAAGTGCCCTGTGCTCAGAGATATCTGTTACCCTCACCTCTCATCAGCACGGGACTGGATTCGAGCGACCTCCCAGGGCTCTGGATCTCAGGGCGTCTTGTCCCACACTGCTCGCAGATGGAACTCTGAGGGGACTACAGCACACAGCAGCACTGTGAATAAGCCCCCTGTTGGGGAGGGACCCAATAGGCTGTGCTGCGCTGCCCTTTTACTCCCTAGCTCTTCCTCTCACTCTCATCCAAACAAGTTTTGTTGTTGCCATGTTTTATTTTGCTTGCTTCACAATCCTACCTGCTAGAAAATTCTGAGGTTACAAAAATGCAAGATAAGAAAACCTTGGAAAAATAAGTAATTCTTTTATTTCTACTTCAAAATAAACTATATACATCCAGAACTCTAAGGGGGGAATATCATTCCATCATAAAAATAAAATAATAATAATAATTGCCGGGGCTGGGGATTTAGCTCAGCGGCAAAGTGACCGCCTGGCAAGCACAAGGTCGTGAGTTCGATTCCTGGTACTGGAAACAAAAACAACAACAAAAAATAATAATTGCCTATTTCTGGCCCCTTCTTGAATCCAGCTGAAGGGAGCATGTGCTGCCAGTTGTCTGGCTGTCAGGTGGCATCCCTCTGTCGGCGACCTTGCGGCTGCCTCCCGGGGACTCTGTGTTTAAGAGTTCCTGGAGCATTGTGAGGACTTGCTTTGGCTGGCCAGCGGCACAGTCCTGCAACCGGGTACCCATTTGCTGCTGGAGGATCCTGGACAGCTGGCACACCACCGTTCGGACATTCCCAGCACGCCCCGGCAGGACGCCACTCCTAATCATGGTGTTCAGGAAGTACCAGAGGACAGGGAGGACATGGCGCTCCACGGCCTGAGGTTTTCGAGGGTAAACTGAGGCCACCAGTGCTGTCAGGAAGAAAAGACAGAGGATCACTGACACTGGGCACCCTCTCCCATCCCTCTGCCCTCTCTTGAGGCACCAACACTGACCTCCAAAGCCCAGCAGCCCAGCACAGGACCAAAGGATTGTAACACATTTAGCAGCCTATTAAATAACATCAAAAGAAAAACCATGCACATATCCAGCCTGGTTTATATCCAAGTTTGGACCAATACAATTTTATCGTTTTGTGGAAAAGGACCATGCAAAGACAAAAGCATATGAGGTCCTTCAAACCCAGAGGAGAGAAAAGAGGCTGACTCCCCAGTTATAATCCTGCCTCTGCTGTCTATGAGCCATGGGAACCTGAAAAGGACGCCCAACCTTCCTGGGCCTTTTCCATATCTGTAAAGTAAAAGTAGTAATGGTGAACCAAGCTCTCAAAATTATTAGACATTCGATAAATATATATCAAAGATCTACCTTTAGGTACGCAGGTGACAAATAGTAAGTAATATTAATATTGGACAGATACAATGCCACCTATCAAAGTCCATGCAAATACAGAAAAAAATTGTCCAAGAAGAGAAGTAAAGGCTCTTGGATGAAGCATACTGCACATCAAACAGCAGCAGGGGACAAGACCAACAATGGCCTCCCCAGCATCCGGATGCCACACCTCACAATAAGGCCAGCGGCATGGGCATGAGCATGTCTGTAAACCACCAAGCTCTGCACAGGCCTTCCCTTCCAGCAACCGACCCCTGTATCTGACTGTCCAGAGCCCCCAACTCCATAACCCAAGAACACCCAGCAGCCAGCCACCCAGAGTAAGCGGCTCTCGCAGGTCACCAGGGGAATTGTGGCCAAGTTACCCTAAGCATATTAGTGCTAATGGTGCCTGTTTTACATTCTGTCTGGCGTCCTGCCGAAGGGCAAGTGCTGGCAAAGGTACATGAAAGTGAAAGCAGTGTCAATTCATGAGGCCAAGAAACTGGATGAAGCCATGGGCCGGGACACACTCTGGAAACTGCTTGAGTCTGGGCTCAGAGAGTGAAGGTGTGGCTTCATTTCAGGCTCATGGCACCCCTGGAAATAAGGACACACCCATCTTACAGGAGAGGAAAGCGAGACTCACCAAGGAGCTTTCATAAGGCCTTGACTCCAAAGCCTCCACCCTATGCTGCACCCCAGTCTCCAGGGTTTCCACATCTCAGAGTCCAGTCTGGAGATTTCCTTTATTTTATTGAAACACCCAATCATCTTTCTCTTACCAGCTGAAAACCATCCAAGCCCCCAAGAGCCCAGGAGGTCCCTTTGCTTTTAGTCTGGGACCATGAGAAACCAGACAAGATGCTCCGCGTCCCCTCTCTGTTCAGCCTGACACTCTCGGTGGCATATTCCATGATGTGAATATTGACTGTTAGGCCATAACCAAGCTTCCTTCACCTGAATCTATGGAGCTCCTATGGGGACCTTCAGAGGCCACAAAAGTGTCAGAAGCCAAGGGGATTGCTGGGAAGGCAGGTCCGTACCCTCCGGGTCAACCCAGCCACAGCAATATCCAATAGCAGCGGAGGCTCCCATGGCAGAAAGGCTTAGAACAGCTTTATAAACTGATAGAAAGAGGCGCACTGGCTAGACAGGGCTGAGGGTTGTGTTCTCTGTGATTGATACAGGATGCATAGGGAAGAACACAGCAACCACAAAGGCAGACAAGTGTCTCCAGCCCCAAGATGGGGAACAGGGAGCAGCTTAAGAAAACGAGCTCCGAGAAGGGACAGAAGGGAACCAAACAATCCTGATCAACTACCTATGCCAAACAACTGTAACTCAACATTTTCCCAGATCTCCATGAAGTCTCACCTGCAGAAAAAAGGTGAGACCATGAAGAGACATGCGTGCACCCATGTTTGTAGCAGTGGTGCTCACAAGAGCCAAAAGGCGGAAGCAACCCAAGTGTCCAACTTTGGATGCATGAATAGACAAAATGCGGCCCACACATGTGGTGGAATGCCATTCAGCTTTAAAAAGAAGGAAATGCTGACACATGCTGCAGCATGAACGAACCTCAAGGACATCACACTGAGGGAAGTATATCAGTCACTAGAGGACAAGTACTGCAGGTATCCACCTCTCTGAGGTACCTGGTGTAGTCTGTCTCATAGAGACAAAAAGGAAAATGGCGGCTGCAGCTGCTGAGAGGGTGGGGGATGGAGAGTTATTATTTAATGGTGACAGAATTTCAGCTTTACAAGATGAAAAAGCAATTGGTAATGGTGATGGCTGTACAATATTGTGAACTGTGAATGGACTGTGCACTCCAGAATGGTTCCAGGGGTAAATCTTACGTTATATGCATTTTAACACAATAAAAATGGGGGAGGGACGGGAAGAACAATCCCCCCACCAAGGAAGCGCACTTGCATCTAACAGCCTCCTTCCCCATCTTGTGCCGCCTTCTCCCCTCACGCCCCAGCAGTGAACTGCGTGTACTCCAGCCCAGGAAGCTCTGCCCTTGGAAGAGGAGCAACACCCCAGCTCAGCTCCACAGCCCACGCTTCCCCCTCTGCTCACATCTTCCTGGCTGACAGAACTCGGCTTCCTCAGAACCACAGTCCCCAGGTACAGGCTTGCGGAGGGCCCTTGGCTGGGTGGATCGGTCTCTCAAGTTGTCAAAAGCACAGAAGCCCTTCTGGGAGCCACCGTGAGGGAGTGAACCCCATTAAACTCAAGTTTAAAAGGCAGCTGGAGTAATTAGCGAAAGATTTACTCCTATTAAGCTGTGCTATTATCAGTCCACACTTAGTGTCAAAGGAAATTTTCTCCTCTGTTCCTAGCTGACTCCAAGGTAGCAGAAGAGCTCTAGCAAAACTCTTGCTTTTGCAGTCTCTTAGAAATAGAAAAAAATTTTTAAAGAAATAGGAAAAAATTGCAGTAAGTAAAAAAATTTAAAATGAGGCTATCTCCACCCTGGGCCCGCTGAATCACCTTCACAAGGACGAGGAAGGGTTTCCCTCAAAGAACAGTGCTTTGGAGTAACAGAAAAGGGTTCCTTGCCTGGTCTCCTGAGTGATTTTAGTACCATGGCCCAGTTCTCACCCCAGGACTCCTCCAGCATCACAGCAGCCAGCCTCCTGGGGATAAATCCTAGGTGACTTGCCAGGGATCTCGGGCACTTAACTTTTTTGAGCCCAGTTTTCTTTGTCTATAACAAAGAAACACACACTTCTTCTAGGGCTGTTTTGAGGGTTAAGTGGTGCAAGGCGTGAAGCCAGCTCGGGAGCCCCTTGAGTTTAAGCAGGGGCATGGCACGACCCATCTGCTTTTTAGGGGGATCTTTGGAGTCCTAGGGAGAGACTGAGTCCTCCTGCCTCCTCCAGAGCCAGAGCCCTCCCAAGAAAGGGGGGAGGATTTGCCGAGCAACAAAGATGGTAAAACTCAGCCCAAAGTCAGTGTGGGGAGATGACAGATGGGCCTGTAGACCCCAAAGCCTGGCCCCTTTCCACACTGTCACTGATCCTAGGATGAAACCCCTGGAGACTTCTGCAGACTCAAGGAGAAATCGGATTAATAAGAACCACTTTTCCTCTTCAGATCTGCTGCAGAGACACCAGGCTGAGGCCAGCACCCAGCCAAGGGCCAAGTGGAGTTAAAATCCAGCCTGTGCCCTGCTTGCCAGGCCACGGAAAGGGCAGCCTCTAATTCTCACAGCGGCGCTGTCTGTGGGCCAAGCTGAGCACTTGGTAGGCAGCATCTGTCTGGACATTTTCTCTGATTCACACAGAGGCACGCGATGGGCTAGAGGAAGCCCCCTCCGCAAAGAAGCAGCAACGCAGCATCGCTTCTTCGGAACTCTTTGCTTATATACATTCCTGCCTCCTTTGGCTGAAAAGAAAGATTGTCGTTCTAGGAAGGTGGAGACTGTCACACAGAGCAACCGATCAAAACTTTTCAGTGATCTGTGGGGATCGTTTCAGGTCAAGGAAAGCACATGGAAGGAGAGAAGGACAGAGATAGTGGGGACAGGGTGCTCACCCGACAGGCGTCCTGTGATGTCCAGCACCGCACGGCCTCTCAGGAAGCGCACCCGCCCCGCAAACGCCTGGAGGAGGCAGAGGTGATCTGCAAGAGATGGAGACATCAGGGGCCGTGAAGCTGTGGACCAAGTTCCTGTGCAGGGGCCCATATGCCTGCCGGGGGAAGGAGCCCTTTGGGGAACTCATTTAACTCCTCCAGGCCCTGGTGGGGCCACTTTGAAAAGCAAATGGACACAGGGTGTTTGAGGAAGAGGGACTGGCTCCCAAGCAAGCTCCATTTGTTTCCATGGGTCTGGTTCATATTGTCTGTAATTCTCAAAGTTGCCATGGGGTTCATGACAAAAGCGCATAGATGAATGATGATTGATAGATACATAGATAGAGAGATAGAGAGATAAATAGATAGATAGATAGATAGATAGATAGATAGATAGATAGACAGAGATAGATATATGGATGCATATGTGGGTATATAAATATATTTATAGTTTTAGGGGACACCGAAGAACGGAACCATGCTTACACAAAATTCAACAAAGAATTGGGGTTAGAACCAGGCATGTACTCTGCACTATGGGAAGCTGAGGCAGGAGGATCATTAGCTCAAGCCCAGCCTGAGTAACTTAGCAACTCAGTGAAAATCTGTCTCAAAATTTAAAAGGTTTGGCTTTAACTCAATGAAAAGATGCTGGTTTCAGGGTTCAATCCCAGGACCCAAAAAAAGAATTGGGGTCAGAATTCAGAAGTTGACGCTCTTCTCCAAGCCTGAACTGGTGGTCTAACCAACAGGATGCACCCATGAAGGCAGTTGTTTATTTCCACACTAAGCAGCTTTATGTCATGGGCATAGAGGTGGGAACTAAGACAGGATCTTTACCTGCCCCTGCCCAGGAAGGCTCCTTTGAGAAACAGACATAAACTTTAGACATGAACCTGGCCCAAGGTGGGAAGCTCCATGCTCCTGTAACTACAGCCAAGGTCTGGAACCAAGGTGACAAACATCACTTGGTCTGTCAGGGGCTCCCTTCATTCCAACAGGGACAGGCTATGTCCCAGGGACCTAGAACAACCAGGCACTCTGTCTGGACAGAAGTATCTGGCTGGCTTGGGGGGTATGGGAGGGGATTTGCAGGTCGAGGGGGCATGATTATCCCTTAACAGTTTATATGTAACCTCACCACCTAAGCCTCATGTCCCCCTTGTTTATAAACCTAGGCAGTATGAGGTCTGGAACAAACAGATATCCAAGGTAATAAGTTTTATCCTCCACATGCCCCATTTCACCTTGCAGGAGGTTCAGGGGAAAGAGGGCTTTCAAATCTAGCTATGTCCCCTCTCTTTTGCTTGCAGTGGTGCTCTAGCACTGAGCTGCATCCCCAGACCCCTTTCAAATTTTGAGACTCTTACTAAGTCCTCCAGCCCGGCCTTGAATTTGAAATCCTCCTTTCTCAGCCTCCCACGAAGGAAGGATTAAAGGCCTGGGCTACTGCACCCAGCTTGATCTTCTTTAAAAAAAAAAGAAAATGTCCCAGTGCCCTCTATCTGCCCAGCTCTACCAGCCCTGCAGCCACACCCAAGAGCTCAGCTCACCCAGCTACCTAGCCACACCCATGGGTGAAGCCCTGAGAGTGAGCACATCCTAGCTTGTATCTTAATAGAGCACAGCATGAGTGTTTGTTACAGAGATGGACTGCAAATGGTGAAACTGCACGCAGGCCGAGCCAGAGATAAAAGGTTCCCGGCCTCTTAGGTTGTATTTCTAAAGCTAACCGCAGGGCCCTGTGTATACTGAATCCAGAAGCTGCTCATTTCTCCCCATTCTAGCTGCATCTTCTGGCTTCTCAAACTTAAATTTGGAGACCTGTGTTCCTCACAAAGACTCACAAGGTGAAGAAAGCTACCTCTTCCTGAGAAAGCTGTGCTAACCTTGCAAATTCCCCAGGCCCAAGGGCTCTCTGTTTATCTTCACAGCACCTGTGCCACGCTCTGCAGAGGCCCCAGCATGCCGAGGACCTGGCCTTTTATGCAACCACAGCGGTCATGGCACAATTCAGTGGGAAGTGAGGCAAGGAACCAAAGGCCTCTTTCAGGGGTGTGGCTGCAGTACTTGCCTGCACCTGTCAGGAGCAGAGGATGGGAGGCCCAAACCCTGTCACCAAAGCAGCCCAGCAAGTACATCCTGGTGTCTGAGTCCATTTTCTGCTGCCATAACAGAAAAAACCCTGTCTGGGTAATTTACAAACAATACAAGTTTATCAGGCTTGGAGCTCCAAAGGCGGCAAAGTCCAAGAGCATGGCGTCAGCAGTGAAAGACAGGCAAACGAGTGTGCATGGCCGAGATGGAAAGGGCCAAGTCATTCTTTTTACCAGGAACCCACCCCCACAGTAACCCACTCCCGGCAGTAACATCATTAATCTACTCAGGAGCTGCGCCCTCTGATCTAATCACCTCTCAAGGACTAAGAGGATTGCCTTTTAATCTTGGCCCCGTGGCTATTCAGATCAGCATGAGTTTTAGAGGGAACATTCAAACCAGAGCATCTTTGGGGTTTGGGAGCCAATGTCTCAGGGCCAGAATAGTTCCCACAGGGGACAGATGGGACCAGCCTGAGGAGCTCTTTCCAGGCACTCCCACCTCTCCCAGGGCCACAGTGTGATATCACAGCTGCATGTTGCCCATATGCCCACAAATCTAGCTAACAGCTAATTCCTGCTTGCCTTGCTCTCTTCCTGAGACCTGTGATGGGTACAGAAGAGAAAATGTACGTGTATATCCTCTGTCGTCTGCAAAAGCTCCACCCACAGGGCAAGGAAGAGTCTTTAATTTGTCCAAGGATATGAAAGACATATCTGGTTCTAGAATACTGCACTTAGCAAGAAGTATCCTGGTAAAGTTGTAATTGTGTAAGAATAGGTTTTATGTCATCATCACCTATATTATTATTTCCAGGTGCTTCTGTTTGTTCCACACAACTCCCCCTCCCCGCGTCATGCTAGATAAATTCACATTTGAAGACAGAGGATTTCTCTCCTGGGTCACCTCTTACAATGCCCAATCTAGCTCTGGCTCAAAGCCAGGAGGAAGTGAACTTGGGGAGTTCCTGAAAATGCACATCCATCAGACCCTGGTCCCAAGGCATCAGGTTCACAACAGCACTTGATAACTGCTTGTGGAAGACAGGATGATATCAGAACCAAACAAGTCTTCCCAAGTTGGTTTATGAACCCCAGTGCACGAAACCCAGGCAGCTGGCCTGTCTTCCTCTGGCTGCTTGTAAAGTGAAAGCTCAACTTTTGGGTCATGCTCAGGTTTAAGGAGAGGCAATAAAGCATAGTGATCAACAGTATATGCTCTGAGCGCAGAACGCCTAGGTCTAAATCTGGCTCTTCCACATTTTACTATCTTCCATTGGACAAGTCACTTAACGTATCTATGCCTCAGTTTACTCATTTATAAAATGAGGATGATCCTAGGACCTTCTCATAGAGTTGCTGTGATGATTAAATGATTAGCATAATGCTTAAGATCATGCCTAGAACACGCCATTACCATGGAGGTAGCAGCTATTTTTGTTACAATTATGATTATTATCCTAAAATGCTCTGAAATCCCAAGAAGCTTCATGGTAAACAGACCAGTTAAGAGGCCAGAACTTAACTTTCAAAAGTCTGAAATCAGCACTTTGTTAGCCTAGCCTGAGTTTTCATGGTCTCCTCTTTTGCCTTTAGAGGAAGCCAAGACTAGCCTTGCAATGAAGAGAATAGCTTAAAAGCCATGCAGTGGGGAGAAGTAGCCACTGGCTGGTAGACCACAGATCCTGTCTTCCTGGCCCAGGCTCCCCCTTCTACAGAGGACTGAGGTCTGGGGGACATCACATCTGTCTCATCTAGCTAAGCTCCATGGCCACTAGATTATCCTTGGGCTCCTGGGAAGCCAGCAAACAGCTTTTAACTCTAAACTATAAATCCAGGTGTGCTCAGGATGCTAGGGCAAGAGAAACTCCATATTTCTGGTTTTACCATCATAGTAAGAGAGGTCACTTAAAGTTCATGTAAGCTATAGTTGACACCCCCACACCCCAGTCCCCTTAGCAACTTGCTTAAAAGCAGAGCAAAGCCATAAATTGGAAACAGAACAAAGAGAGCAAACTGGTTAATGGCTAACCCACTATGGTCATTGGAATTTGGTTGTCTGACCTCCTGGGAGAAAGGTAAACTTTGTATTAATTATGTGACGGTCTTGTGAGATTCCTGAAAATGAAGTAATGGTTACTATGGAACCGGAAATGTACTAAAACCAAAGGTGAGACCCAGAGCTGCACAGACATCTCTAACTCCGTGTTGGAGACGATCTGTCAGCCGGCTCTAATAAAGCTTTGTTCGTTCATGCTTTTTCGGTTTTCTTGTGAGTGTCTTTCTCAATGGACTTGCTTGCCATATCAAGGAGGCAGGAGGATCACTGCAAATTTAAGCTAGCCTGGGCTACACGTAGTGAGTTCAAGTTCAGCCTGAACTACAAAGTGAGACCCTGTCTCAAAAAATAAACAAACAAACAAACAAAAATGGCAGCATGGATAGTGGCAGTAAAGAAACTGCAGTTGAGTTGGCCTCCCCACAAGAAGCATAGCACCCAGGAAGTTATGAGATGTCACAGCCTCGGTGGCTGCTAAGACTAGGTATGTTCCTCTCAGGGAAAGACGGGCGGTGATCCACCTGCACAGAAACATGCAAACAACCACAGGACAGAGCTGTGAAGACTAACTCAAGAGTGTAATCATATGTAAGTGTTCATTCTCTGGTTTCTTCAAAGCAGGAAGCAAAGTCAAATTTATGATCCCACCTATGTTCATAAATAGGCACAAAAAAGTCTAAAATGAAGAATGCCAAATGATAATAACTGTTTCTCTTAGCGATTGGGACTTGCTTGAGTTTTTTTTTTCTTTTCAAATGCTTCATATTTTCTGCTTTCTCATTAATAACTATGTCTTTTACAGTGCTGAAATAGACTTTATATTTTTTAAATTAGGAATACATAATAGCATGGGAAAGTGGATAGTATTAAAGAAAAAAATCAAAATTGTATTCACATTATCATTTTAACTAGGGAAACATGTATATGTGTAGGCAAAAAAATAGGAGATAGAGATATATTAAGCAATTAGTACAGTGGAGAAGAACCATGCTGAATTTTTACTTCCATTGGCAATGTGATGTTGGTCATATGATTTACACAAGGTAATAAGTTTACAGTCAGAGAGCAAAATAGTGGAAGTAGATCTGAAGCCACCCCCACTCCAGGCTTATCTGCTGTCTCCAGCACTGGCCAGGGGCTGGGCTAAATTAAGAGAACTAACTCCCTTGGCTCTGAGAAGCCTGAATGTGAAGGTCACCTGGCAGAGGCTGAGCTGCCAGCCCCTGCAGGGAAGTTTCTTTTGTAGCTAACCCAATGACAAAGCCCAAAGACAGGGCCAACCAGTCCGATCAGAAACTTAGCTAATTCCCAGAATAACATCCCTGAAATCAGAAGTTCTTGGTGATGAGTAGGAAGAATGCTACTGAGCCTGAAGCCCGAAGAGACCCCAAGGCAGGCAGTGACAAATGGCAGAGGTCAGGGAGTGAGCTGTCTGACCTATCTCCTCTCTCACTGTCCTCCACCCCCAGTAAGGACAGTAGCAGAAATCCTCACCCGCTCTGTCAGCCAACATATCTCTCAGCCCAACCCACTCTCAGGAAAAGCACAGAACTAGAAGAGATGCTTTTGGCTGATGAGTCTACTTAGCACTCATTTTCAGAGTCAAGGGAACTCTTTAGAGGTCGCCTGAGCAGGCCAACCTCTCACTTCGTTGTGCCATCTGGACTTCGTGCCAGAAGATGGCCTGATGACCTCACCTGACATTGTTTTTGATCCCCCCCGGCCATGCAATTAGCAAGACACGAAAAATAACATGCTGAGCCAAGGCTTGTGACTTTCTACATTTAAGCACTGTACAGAATTTACCAGTCCTGGAGCCCAGAATCTCCAGGAGGGCATGCGGTAACAGGGTCAAAGGAAGCTCCCTCCACCAAACTGCTCCAAGCCACTTCCAGGAGGGCCCTTGGGGTGCTAAGCTGCTCCCACTGTCCAGTAGAACCACCAGACTCACCTTGAGTGGTCTGGGAAGGCTATGCCCCCTCTCTCCTGTCTCAATTGCCCCAGTCTCCACAGCTACTCCCCTCCCCCAGGTAGTGGGAAGCTAAGTTATTTGCATCCATTTATCCCTGTGGCCCAGGCTCAGAGCACTCCAGGCAGAGGAGAGCCATTCCTGGAGACAACTTGATGGCAATGATGAATTCTTGGTCTATCCTAAATCCCTCCAGCTCTGGCCTCCATGGACATAGAAATCAGTTTGCCCCTTCATAGTTAGGAATGCTTTCAAAAACATTCTCTTTTTTTGCTGATTGTACTGACAGGGTGTGGCACACAGCAAAGCCATCTGACCCAGAGAGCTTCTTACCATACCTGCTCAAAAATCCCCTGCAGCCAAGACAGTGTATTCCACCCCATGGTCTCCACAGGAGCCTGGAGCCAGGGATTTATGGGAGCCATGCACTCCTGTGAGGTCAAACACCTTTCCAGCCACAGCGCTGCCCTACAGATCTGAGAGGCAGATAGTCCCCTCACACCAGCCTCCATTCTCCCAATACCAAAGGCTCTGGCTGGTGGACCAGAGGGAGCCTGCAAGGAGACCCAGTCCCAGAAAAAAGGTGGAGCAACAGGTGTCTTCCTGGTAGCAGCAACTCTACCTTAAGTTGTGGTCAGATCACAAAAGCAGGCTGCTAGGATTTGAATGTGGTTTGTTGCCCTGAAGGTCTTTCATGTGTTGGAAGCTTGGCCCTCAGTGTGAAAAAATGAAGAGGTGGAGGAAGCTCTAAGAGGAGGGGCCTACAGGAAAGTAATTAGGTCACTGGACTCATGGCCTGAAGGAATGACTTAGTTCCCACGAGAGCAGGTTGTTATAAAAAGAGAAAGATGAGCCTCTACCTGGTTTCTGACTTCCTGTCTCACCATAGAAGCTCATCTTCATCTACTCCCGCCATTGCAATGCCATCTGTCATGAGGCCCTCACCACAGGAGTTGAGCAGAAGCTGATGCTATACTCTTGGACTTCCAGAACTGTGAGCTAAGAAAACCTCTTTTCTTTCTAAAGTATCCAGCCTCAGCTATTTTGTTATAGCAATAGAAAATGGACTGATACCCATCCCTAAATCCCATGCTTTCCAGGGTGCCCAGCCCAGATGGGTACAGTAGGCCCAAGTAGAGGCAACCTTATGACCATGGAAGATACCAGATTGTGAAGCACAAAGCTTCAAACTGCACCATGCCCAAGGAGACTAGCCTGGTGGCAAAGAACAGAAGAGCTGAAGTACCCAGGGGAAGAAGAGTTAAAACTCCTCTCCCCAGATGTAGATGTTCATCCTCCTCAAACATCTAAAGCCCATTCTGCTTTGTGCCAGCTTTCCCAATAAATCCAAGGCCCACCATGATTTACCAAGAGCCTTGGTTATTGGAAACAGCAATCTCACTTACCCAGAGCCTCGCTGAGAACAAACCATAATTTAGAGCTGGATTTATATTGTTTGTTCTACAGCAACAAACTCAGCAAATCATAAATTCCCCCTGAGATGAAAAGTGGAAATTGACAATATTTATGAACTTAAAAGGTAGACACAGGCTTGACCAGGCCTTTGATTTGTAACTGTAATTCCTTCTGGTGGCTCCGCCAAGGACACAGATGCTGTCCCAGCCCTAGGATCTGGGCTCAGGCAATAGCAAGGAGATGGGGCAGGGGAGAATGTGCCAAAAGGCGTGTCCAACCCTGCATGGGATGGTCTGTGATGCTAAGGCAGGACAGGCCCTGTGCCAGTAGAGACATACAGCTGCAGGGTAAACGAAGCCAAATGTTCAGATCATGAGCTCCTCCCATGGAGGTGAGACCTATCTGTAAAAACTCATCTTCTACCAGCCAAGACATAAGGCTACTCATGTACCACTTTCTTAGTGCTCATTCATCTATACACTAGATACACCAAATGTCACCTATGAAAGGAAAGGACAGATGTAGATGCACTGAGAATTCCACCTAATGTTGAAGAATTGAAATGTGATACAGCAAAGCACATGAGGAAGTGACAGCCTCTCGCTTTTCATGATGTCTCCTCCATAGTTCTTTCCTTTTTTTTTTTTAGTTCCAACTCTCCATCCTCCCTCCCACCCATCACCAGGCCCTCACTCTTTCAGCCTTGCCCGGTGCTTCCCACTCACCCCCTGAGAGGCTCTGTGGCCCCAGGGGCTATTTCCTGGTGTAGCCATGAAGGGGCTAGACCAGATCATCACACCACTGCCCCTCTTAACCACCAGGTGGATGGGACCTGGAGAAGCCTCCAACCAAGAGCCTCAGAGGCCCAGGCTGATGTCTGCCCTGAGCAGCCTCTGAAGAAATGTTTGGCCCAAGAGCCAGCCAGGACCATTCACCATTCTGTTGATTCCCCAGCAGTGCGGTGACTCCAGAGCCAGCTGCCTCCCAGAGCTCAGTGGGGACCACAGTGGGGCGCTCACCCAGGCTCTCTATCATGGCATCCAGCACAGTGGCAGCGGCGGCCGCAATCCCCGAGTTCTTGGAGTTGAGGTTGTCTGCAACGGCAACGATGAGGGAGAGCAGCATGGGGTGCACGCTGTCTTTGAGTAGGGGGATCATTTTGGCGAGGGACTCCAGAGCCCACTGGTTCACTTTCTTGTTGGAATCCTGAAGCCTCGGGGTGAAGGCATCGAAGACCTATTGAGAGAACAAAAACCAACAGCCCACCATAAATCTGCCAGAGGGACAAGCTAACCAGAGACAGCATTTGCAAGGCATGCCCAGCCCTTGGCAAACATCCAGGCAGGCTTTTGGCATCTCAAAGGCCAAACGGAAGGCAAGCATTTCTGAGGCTCCTGCTGCCCTGTGAGTTCAGGCACAACATCCAACCTGGTTCAGAGTTTTCTAAATTGAAGCTGCACCCGCCAGGGAGAAACGGGCAGAGGTGAGAGGGCAGAGGTGAGAGGGCAGAGGTGACAGGCACTCACCTGGACCAGGTTGGCCATGATGAGCTCCGGCTTGGTCCTGCAGTACTCCAGGAGCCGCCCCACACCTTCCATCCGAGACTGGTACTCTTTAGCCTCCAGCAGCCTGGTCAGCTCCCGAAGTTGCTCTGCTATTTCCAGGCCTCCCCGCACGGAGGAGTGCACCACCAGCCGCAGGCCACTGGAGCCAAATCTAGGGGGAAGGAGGGCCTGACCCCTGGGGAAGAGCCCCAAGAGATGGACACACCTCCTGCCCTGTGCTCCCTCTCATTGGCAGGTGGGGCAGAGACAACTGTGTCACCGTGGCTTAGTTCACACCCAGTTCTCCTCCACCTGCTGCTTGGGGACACTGACCTTGGGAATCCTGGAAGTCTCTTCCCCCACCTTTTCCCTGATGCCTATATCCTGCACCTGCTTGGCTAGGCCTGCTCACACTCCTCCAGTATATGGAGAAACGTTAGGAAGCCTGTTCCCTGACATTGGATCACATGCTCATCAGAGCCCTGTGGTCATTCCAGCCAGTATGAGAGCAGCTCCATATAGACCCCCTATCTCCTACCCTCAGTTCAAAGCCAGGGTCACTGAGTTCATGCTCTATACCGAGGTCCCACCTAACAGGACCAACACCATCCAACTGCCATTCGTTCCTGCATGCTACACTCTTGCCTACCAAGAGCTGTGCTGCAACTGACAACGAGGTAAGAAACATGCTCTTTGCCTTAAGGAGCTTCTGGACCAAAGAGAGGCAGAGTTATAAAGAACAAGGAGCAGCCATCCACTCTGAGGCTGTGGGGTACAGAGCCATCTCAGAGAAGGTGACAGGGGAGCTGACTCTTGTAGAATCAACAGGCATGTTCTAAATGAAGACTGGGCAGCATAAAGACAGCACAGCAGGGAGAGAGGGTGCAGAGTAGCAGGAGCTGCTCTGGCCTGGCCAAGAGAGTATGAGAGAGAGAGGTCATGAAGTCACTACTGCAGAGTGGGCCTTAGCTGGCGCCCTTCTAAGGAGTCAGATATAATCATCCCAAGATACTGCAGAAAAATTTAAATTTTAGACACAGGAGTGACCATGGATTCCTGCTTGGTTCCTAGATGCTCCCACCACCACCCTCCAGCACTTCTGCTGGACCTTCTGGTCTGCTTATGCTGCAGCTCTGCCTTTGAACCAGTCCCAGGCTGGCCATTCTGATGGCTACAGTATCTCTGATCTAAGTGAAGACTAGCAGCCTGACCAACACCACATCTCGCCTATAATAATGGAATGGAGCTCCTTCGGCCAAGACTCCAGGAACCAACTCTACTGGTGGATGTTCTCAAACCCAAGATTTGGTCTACCCAAGGTATGGCTGGAGAACACTTCCTATAAATCCATCCATTCCTATTGTAGAACCAAGTAGGTCTCAGCCATACTCCAAATCCCCAATCTACCCCAGATTCACGCCTGGCCTTGGGGAAGCAAGATGCCTCTGCAGGCAGCATTGGACATGGAGCCCGAGAGAGATGAGAGCAGATATACCCTTCCTCAAAGGGCAGCCCATTCTCACACGCCACCAGACTCCTTGACACCTTGCGGCCTTTGGCAGATGGAAGTTCCTGGTTATCTTCTAGTCCCTTAAAAAAAATATGCAGAACTTCAGCCAAAATGAACACCCCTCCAGGGAAATGTCCAACATGCCAGTAGAGGCCTTAACAAGATGAATAATCCCTTCCCCTGGGATAGCTCCAGAGGTCACAGTTGAGCCTTCCAGAACCCTGCAGGTGGCTGGGGTAGAGACCAAGATCTCCACCGAATGGATGAAGGTGTGGTGGCCCAGGAAGCTCAAGGAATATAGGTAGTGAGGGTAGGACCAGGTAGGATCACAGGGGACACAATCACATGACCCAACCCAGCAAGACTGGTGGAATCCAGTCCCCACTCCACTGGCCCACACAGGGCTGGCAGGCTCCACTCTGACCCCACCCTGGAAGACTGCAACTCAATGTCACCTGCTCACCCGCTGCTTGATGGCCGCCATGACTTTCCGCAAGTCATGAGATGGAAGGGACTGCTTCAGAAACGTGTCAAACTTAGCATTTGCCATCAAGATAGTCACCATCTTCCGGCCATAAAATCTGCCATGGGAGAAGAAGTAAGAAGGAGGAACAGCCACAGCAGTGCAGGATAAATTTTCTCTATATCTTTCCATAAGTTTCCTAACTTATGTAGGGAAGTTTTTAATACTTTTTCTAATTACAAAAGCAATCCCTCCATAGTAAAAATTTTGATATATAAAAGATGAATATCATCCACAATGTCATTACCAAGAAAAAAAATTACTATTAAAAGTTTCCATGTTATCAGCCAGGTATGGTTCACATACCTGTAATCCTAGCACTCTGGAAGACCGAGGTAGGAGGATTGCAAGTTCAAGCCCAGCTTGCAAAATTTAGTAACTTATCAAGACCCTCAAATGTAAAAAAATAAATAAATAAAAGTACTGGGTTTAATACAGTACTTAAAAAAGAAAATATATATATTTTCTAATATTCTGTCTTCTACGTACATACATTTTAGTTGATATCAAAATTGTATGTATTACATGTATTCATTCAGTCATTTCACTTAATGATTAATTTTCCCTTCATGTTGTTTAAAACTCTTCCCAAGCACCCACTGAACTACCCAATATTGTGTTGAATGGCTACACCAAAATAGATCTGATTTCTTTCTAATATGGGAAATTCAGAAGTCTGAGGAAGCACACAAATAGGGCAGCATAGGAGTGAGTGGTCGGCTCTGCCTAGTATGCGGTGGTACTTGGGGGAAGGAATCAAGAAGGGGTTTATGGAGGAGGTGACTCTAGGATGGGGATTCACAGGACGAGTAGGAGTTTGCAAGTAAGGCAGGACTGGGGAGTAGGAAGAAGGAGCCATTGCAGGGCTCAGTACACAGTCTGACTCATGAGCAGGGAATGGTTGGAGAACAGGGAGCAGAGGTTCACCGCAGGGAGGGAATGGGCTGGAGAAGAAGGCAGGGCCTGTTCAGGGAGCCACAAAGGAGTGGGGCTGAGCCCTGTAGCAATGGGGAGCTGAGGAGTGATCCGGTGTGCATGCTAGTCCAAATCTCTGCCAGTGGCATGGAGGGAAAATTGGTGGGGTTGAGGCTGGGTCTATGAGACCAATTAGGAAGCCACCATCACAGCCCAGGCAAGAGACAGAGACCTGCAATAAGGCAGAAGAATGGGATCAGAAAAGGTGGCCACAATCAAGAGCTGCTGACATAGGGGCTGGGGATTTAGCTCAGCGGCACAGCATCTGCCTGGCAAGTGCAATGTTGTGAGTTCAATTCCCAGTACTGGAAAAAAAAAAAAAAGAGCTGCTGACAGCACTGAAACTATAGGATTTTGTGGCTCGTCAGACATGGAGCAAGAGGTGCCTAGAATTAATGTATTTCATCCAACCTAACAATCTCCTGATTGTAAAAGGCACCGTACTTTATTTTTCACTAAAGAAAAACAGAAAAAGAAAATACTAGCAATTTCCACTGCCTTCTGGACACTGAACCATGTTTTTCTCCCTTAGGTCAGGTAAAGTTTTGGTGGTTATTTTGCAATAAAATGTGGAATTTTGGTCATTCCTTCAACAATATTTGCTTCCTTGATGTCTAATTCATGTCATACTGTTCTATTCCCACGCCTCTTCTCATCCATAATAACTTTTCATTCTGATGCTGAATAATAGTATAATATTTTTAAGACATTGAAAACTGTAATCAAACTCAAGAGTTCTCTGCAGAGTACCCAACGTGATTTCTGAAAATGTTGCCAAGCAAAAAAGGGACACGCCTTAGTTTCTACAATGCAAATTTCATTCACAAGTTTATACTAGCAGCAGCAACAAACTTTGCAAATGTGCAAATAGTAGAACACAAGTCATAACCACTGCATAGCCAACAGTGACTGCGAGAGTGACTATAAGATACATGTCAACTTTGAATTTACAATGTGGGGGAAACATTTATTAGGTTCAGGGAAGCTTAGGGTCCCTGTCTTGCATCTTGGGTGACTTGGTAAGTAATGGTGACTTTGTACAATAGTGGGAATACAGAAAAGCAGACTTGGGGAGAAAACAATGACTTCCTTCAGGGACACTTGTTGCCCAAGATGACAACAGAACATTTGCTGACAGTTTCTCTAGAGATACTAGAGATTTGGGGCTGACGTTCAAAAAAGGGTCTGGGCTAGAGAGAGAGACTGGGAAGCATCAAAGTTTGCTGATGGCTGGAGCCAGAGGGGTGAGAGCCTGAAAAGGAGGGGACTGAATGACTGAAGACCCTCCCCAGCCACCTCCGTTCAGACTGCAGGCAGGGTAGAGACACGGCCCCTGGCAGCAAGGATAAACCAGAGCCCCAGTGACACAGAAGCCAAAGTGGGATGCATAGGGTTCCAAAAAGGAAAATGAAACACAGTCAGCATCATCTGAAGTCAGAGGAACCTCAGACAGGAGAGGATGTTAATCTGGATCATACTAAGTCTTGACTTCCATCCTTCTACCAAGAAGTACAGATAAAGAAACAATCTAAAACCTTCCTCTCCACCAGTATCTCTCTTCTCAGTCCTATCATTCACTCAGTTGTTCTCTTTAAAAACCTAAGAGATATCTTTGATTTGTCTTTGGATCCCTCACCACCATATGCTGCTGGCTGTGCCTTCACAATACACCAAAGCCATCTACTCCCATAGTCACCTGCTTGCTGTCCCCCTCCACCCAGCCCCTCTCTCCCGCCATCAGTCCTCCACCGAGCAGCCAGAGAGATTTTTTTTACTCCAACGGCTACAAGCATATGAAAAAACCAGATCTAGTCGTCAGGTAAAAGTTTCTCTGAAAACAATAAGCTGTCCCTTGCACAAAACCATTAGACTGGTAAAAATTAGAAATCCAGACATTGCCACATAACGGCCAGGCCATGAGGAGGTAGGCACCTCGGCCGGCATGAGGGAAGCCAAGGGCCGCGGCACTGGACAGCCCCAGCCCCACTGGGCCACGAACGGTGAAGGCATCTCAGCCCACAGTGCTGCCCTTGGCTCATCCATGGAGATCCCAGCTCAGCTCCACGGGGGCCAAGGCACTGGGGCAGGTATGTGCAGCAGCCTTTTCCATGGTAACAAATGACAGACAGATGGCGCAGAGTGGGTAGTGGGTGATACATGCGATGTGGCCTCTACAGCCTGCCGGGCGGGCATGGATGCACCAGGGTGGGGTGAGAGCCAGAGGACTAAACATGCACACTCACATCTCAAAAGAGGGGTGACAACTCGCCCTCTGCTGAGGGCTGGAACAACTTAGCCTCAGTCACCACTTGGACAGTCAGATCCCATTACTTTCCCACTTAAAATCCTCAGATTCTTCCTCATGCTCCTACTAAAAACTCCTCTTATCACAAGACCCCAAATCCCAACCCCTGACCTTGGCTTCTGAGGCCTCTGTGACCTGTCCCTGCCCACCATGGCCCTGGCTCTGTGTTCCCCCAGTCCGGCCACCTTCTCCCTCAGACACCACGCTGTCCTCCCTCAGCAGCCTTTGTCCCATTTCCTCTGCCTACGTCACACAGCCTGAGCCTTACAGAGGCCTCCGTCCCGCCGGTCAGTTCTCAGACCCTCCCCATCCCCATTCCGTCTTCTCCGCATCTTGCCTTCCTGTCCCTTATGTGTCTAAAATGATCACAACATTTACTTGTTAATTATCTGTCTCCCACAAGTAGGAGGTGAGCTGCAAGATAACAAGAGCTTAATTTTTCTTACTTACTTTATCTCTAATAACAAAATCAATGCTCATTAAATACCTTGAGAAAATGCACGAGTGGTTTTACAGAGAGTAAAAGTGGGGCTGGGTGGGTAGAGACAAAAATAACATCACGTCAAGTTGAGCGGGGAGGGGAAGGGAGGTAGCGGAGGCAGACGGCACTGACCATTCCCTGAAGGGGCCCAGTAGGACCCTGGAGAGAGATAGGGCAGGAGCTGGAAGAGAAGGACGCGGCTTCTGTCCGTCTCACTGTCCCTTTGCGTGACCCAGGGGCCTCAGGGCTGGCCAGTCGCCTTGCCTGTCCCAGACCCTGGCCCCACCTACCTGGTGTCCTGGTTGGAGTCCTGGGCCAGTCTCACCAGAGTGTGCACCAGCACGTCTACGCTGTCCCTGCTGCCGGAGAGAAGCTTCTCAGCGCCGATCTGCTCCACGACAGCTGAGAGGTGCTCGGCTGTGCATTTCCGGACTAAGGGGTTTCGGTGGCTGAAAGGAAACCCAATCACACCCAAGGGGTCAGCCACAGGGTAGGGGTGGGGAGCCCCAGGCTGGCACACACAGGTGAAAGTCATAGACCAGAGACCCAAGCTTCACGCCAGCCGTGGCTCCAAAACCTGGCCCACACAGGCTGGGGAATCTTTGAGGAAGGGGCAGTCAGTTCCTACACACACACAGGGCTAAAAGTGACGACAGGAACAATGAGAGGGCGAAGAATAGCTGCCTGCAGCCATGCGCTGTTCCCCAAATTCCTGAGCACAGCAGTCTGCCTTTGTCCAGACCACTTCCCCATCGTCCCCACCCCCGGGAAAATCCTACTCAGGCTGGATCTGCTCTTCCTCCCCAGCCCCACAGCAGAATTTGCTGCTGCTTCTTCTGAGGTGGTGCTTTCTTTGTTCCAAGGATGTATGTCACACCCTGGTGCCCCTTCCCCAGTAGAGCTGCCAGCTCCTTGGGAACAGGGACTGGTCTCCCTCTCTAGAGGGACTTAGCAGAGCCTGACACTTAGCAGGAGCTGACGCGTAACAGGAGTTTAAGGCACGTTTGTTGAACTGAACTGGAGGATTTATTCATTATAACAGGTGGAACCTGAACTCTGGTAAGAGAAGCGCATCAGAACGCTGCCTCTTCTGAGCAGGGTCTGTGTGTCCACACTGCAGCAGGCAGTGCTGACCTTTTCCCCACCAGGTCCTATGTCAGTGGAACGCAGAGGGCATCAGAGCCTTCCCTGCTCAGTGCAGTCCACGGGCCAGCAACACTGGAGCCGAAGCAGAATCTGAGCTGCAGCAAGATCTCTAGAGGAATCAAACACACAAGCCTGGGGACACCCGACCCTGGTTCTTGTTGACAATGACCAATGGCCTCACACTCTGTGCCAGGCACTGTGTCAAACTCCTTTTATCCCTTGTCTCACATCAACTCCACAAGCTACTTTTTTTTTTTTGGTACCGGGAATCGAACTCAGGACCTCGTGGTTGCTACGTAGGCACTGTGCCACTGAGCTGTATCCCCGGTGCCACAAGCTACTTTTATTATCATCATCTTGCAGGTGAAAGAGCTGAGACCAAAGGAAGAAGCCAGGAAAAGTGCAATTAATTTTGCCCAGTTCACCCACAGTGATCATTCAGTGAATCTTGGGCAGAGACAGACAGGGTTCCAAGCAGTCTCTCACAAATCAATTTTTGGCTCCACATAATGACCTTGTTATTATCCCCATTTTACAGATGAAGAGATGGAGGCCCAGAGAGGTGAAGTGACAATCCAGTATGTGAACTCAGACAATGTGGCTCTGGAATGCCCCACCTTTGGGGTCCGCAGTGGTGAATTAGCAGAGTGGGCTGGTGCGGCAGGTGCTGGGATCCACTGAGAAGCCCCCTGTGTCTGTGTGTTAACTGACTTCCTGGACAGAGAAGTATTTGGCCCTGGGAGAGACAGAGCTCAGGAGATGCCTTTGGTTTTGATTTAAGAGGAAAATAAACCTGGCTCCAACAGCAGCCCAACCCCACATCTCTCCCCAGGAGAAAGGCAGTTGTGTGCTTCACCCTCCACACTGGCCCTGATTTCATCAGAAAGGAGCAGGGCTCCCCTGGGAGGGGAAGGAGCCCCCAGGGCACAGCTGAGGGCTCTCAGCACCCTGTGGCCTGGGACGTTACCATGGCCACCATGTGCTTTCCGACCTGGAGCAGAACAACACTCCTGCTTCTGTAGCTGAGCCCGCCCCATTCTCACCAGGAAGATGGGGAAAGGCCCATGCGCAAGCAGGCTCCTCCCACAGCCCAGTGTGTGGAGCGTCTGAATCCTAACGAGAGAAACGCATGCCTGTGCTCTGGCCCTCTGATATCTTAAGGGACCCTCGCAACCTCCGTTCCTACTTCCTTCCCACCCTGTCCCTGGCTCCCACACGTCCCTTCTCCTTCGACATCTCAGGCCCTCTCCCCTCCTCGCCTCTGCTGACCACCCCCACACCTCAGACAACAGGCTGCCACGTACTAGACGCCCGCCGAGGTGAGGGCCGTCAGAGCGCGGGCAGGGGTCACGTTCTCCACCATGGCGCCCAGGGCCCGGCTGGCGGCGCGCTGGATGAACTCGCTGGTGTTCCCCATCTTCTGCAGCAGGCAGCGGGTGATCTCTTCAGCCTCCTGGTCCATGTTCTTCTTCAAAGCCCGGAAGAGGTCTCCCAGGGTGCTGATGGCCAGGCGGGACACCTTGGAGCGGAGGTTGGTGACCTTGAAGAGAGAGAGGAGAGGGACCCTCCAGGACTGCTGGAGCCTGCCAAGGTCTCAGGGCCACGTGGAGGATGGAACTTCCCCATCCTTTCAGCCGCACCCTCCCCCACCCCCTCGACACACCAAAAACAAGGATCCTACAACAGCTCCGCGCACTCATTTCATAAGCATCAAAATTATGAATCCCATCATTATCATCTGAAATTGGTATCGCTTAGTCCTCAGAGCATGTTCAAAAGAAGTGTCGGATTTGATCTGCAGACTACTGTGAGAGGGAAGCATGCAGAGGAAGGCGCAGAGCCAGGCCACATGCAGGGAGGCACAGCCACAACACAGCCAGCGTCAACAGTGGCCTCTATGTTCAAGCCCCCCAACCCCCTGGAGCCATCCATTCCCAGTGCACCTCACTGCCTCTCTCTGGGGGCCTGGGGACAGGCCAGGGACCTGGCCCAGGACACTCTCTCCTTAGACATTTTGGGCCCAGAGGACCATCGAGATAGCAGACATTTTGAGGCTGTGACAAAAGGACACATGGAATTCTAGATGTTTCAACTCCCATGGACTGCAAATAAAGAAACCCTTAGCCTCAGCTTTCCCCTGTGAAGTATGACAGCCCCTCCTACCTTGGTGTCTGAGGGCTGAGAGAGAGGCAGGGTCACTCACGTTCTGGGGAGCCATGGCTCCCATCACAGCCGCTGCATGACTCGCCTCGAAGCCTGTACCAGGGAAAGGGGGGAGGCTGGGGACAGGGGCACAGCACACAGGTAGTGGAGAGGCCTCACCTCCCCGCTCACTGCCAAGGACACGTCGTGCAGCCTCCCAGTGAGGACCTCCGGGTGACAAGCTGCCAGGCGCTGGATGCCCACCAGGCCCTTCTCCTTCATCTGCCTGAGAATCAAGGCCAGACCTGTCACAGCTGCTCCCTCTGCAGACCGGGGTCCTCCCCCACCCCAACACCCCATCCGCCACTCCACACGCCCGCAGCGGGGCAAGACTCCCTCAGAGGCAGAGCTTCCTGGGGCAACACCTAGGCCTGACGTCCTAACCATTCATTTGGTATAAACTTTTATTTTTTTGTACTGCAAATTGAACCCAGCGCCTATACATTGAGCTACATGCCCAGCCTGCCCAGCCCCTGCCTTTTTATTTTGAGATAGGGTCTTTCTAAGTCACTAAATTACCCAGGCTGGACTTGAGCCTGTGATCCTCTTGCCTCAACCTCCCAGAATGCTGGGATTACAGGCATGTGCTACTATGGCTGATATGCCACTATGGCTGGCTAGCACCAGCCACCTTATAGGGAGCCAAGTCAGTCTTCAGTTCTGGTAGTTCTGGGTTGGAAGCCATCCAGAACCTGTTTGGGTCCCTGACAGAAAGCAGATACTTTTCAGAGTGAGGTGGAGACCTAGAGGGCTTTCTGTGAGAGTTCTGGACCGTAGGTCACCACTCATGACTAAGATAGTGTGTCTCACTAGTGCAGGGCAAGGCCCACTGAGAGCACATTAATTTGGTCCGAGAAGTAAAGGGCTGCGATGGTCTTGGTCCCCACATTTTGAAGCCAAATTCATGCTTCTTATGCCTGGCTCTGGCATTTCACAGAACAGTGCACAGGAGTGCTTGGGAACCCAGGGCATGCACAGGAAACCGGAGACATCACACACTGGTACATGCACAGGTATGCATGCACACACACAAATGCTTTTCCTGCCATGGTACCAAGGCCCGGGGCAGAAGGGCAGCTGGGGGTAGGGGCTCTTCTCCAAACTCCAACAGCCTTGCTTCCCACCCTACCCCCACCCAGGTCGTGGGACACAAAGAGAAGGGGTCACCTCACCAGTCACTGCTGCTGAGGCCCTGAAGGGCATCCATCAAGCCCAGCTCTGGGTTCGAGAAAGGCCGTAATTCCTTGAAGATTGTAAGATCCCTCTCTTCCTCCTCTTCCCTCCACTCAGGAGACCCCAGAGTGAGCACCGCAGGTAATGAGTTAGCTGCACTCACAGAAAAGGAAAGATACAGCACGCTCACCCAGGAGGACAGGCAGGCACTCCTACTGGGTGCTCTTCCCAACCCTTCCTTCCAGGCCTGGCCTGTGGCATGGAGCCCTCCACGCAGGGAGGGCCAAGAAGCCAGTGATCAGGCCTCACCTGAATCCAGGAGGCAAGGAGACCACCTAGCTCTCCACCTTTGGTTGGTGTGCTCCATTCCCACCGTTGCCAGCCTGACCATTACAAACGCTGGCTTGGAACATGCCATTTGATGCCATGTGACAGCGCCCAGTGAGCCTGTGACTTGCTTCCAGTCCTGCCCTAGCTGAGCCCAGTGAGCCGTTCATGAATGACTCTTTAATCCGGTGGTGTTCTGACCTCGCTCCCACCCAGAGCCTCTGCTCCTGCCCTCCTACACCCACCACCCATGAGGTTGTCCGAACAGGGAAATGCACCTCGGACAGATGACTGGAGGAAGGCAGGAACAGTAAAAAGCACCAGGGAGACAATGTGGGTCAAGATGGAGTCACCCTTGCAAGGATTGGTAACAAGCAAAAGTGATTAAATCCAGTGCATGTTTTCTGATCTCTCCTTCCTTGTGGAACAGACACTAGAATCCTAAATCCTAGCACAGAAAGGAACTGCAAAGGCCTTCTATTTAGTGCAATGCCCCAAGCACACACTGAGGTAGCAGAGACTCCGGGAGCCTGGGGGACCCACCCGCAGCCCCTCCAATCCTCCATCACGCAGCAAGGGAAGGAGGTCTCCTCCAGGCCAGAGCTCTCACTACCACATTGCACTTCCTGGCTGGTTGTTCTCTGAGGTCCACCTCCCTGGGATGATTTTTCCCTACACACATCCAGAAGGTCCTGGGCAAATCTGGGTGGAGAGGCAATCTTTTCTTAAAGCCAAGACACCAATCCCTCCTTCCCCAATGTCTCAGCTCTGCCATTAGCATGTGAAATGGTCTCTGGATCTGTCCTTGGTAACCTTCTGGTAGAAAGAGGTAGCAGCCAACTACCTGTCCTGCCTGGACATGACATGAATTCTACACTGTCTGGGAGGCTTCAAGAAGCACGGGTCTGCTCAGGGAAACAAGCATGCTGACCTCATGCTTCCCACCCTGGCTCCACCTCGCCCTTCAGTGGTGCTGAGTATCCACCTGGATGTCCCAACAAACACATGAAAGGCCCCTGCCTGGCCACCCAGCCTCTAGGCTTCTAGGATTTCTGTGGACTTTATCTTTGCTAACCCCTCCCCGACAGCTTCTCATTAACGTCCATAAGTCTCCCTTGAGGTCCAGGAATTTCCATTCTTTGCACACACAGAAAGAATTTATAGACACAGCAGACCTCACCTGAAGCCATCCAGTCCCCAAAAAAGGCTAGACTCATATTTATTAGGGAAATCAGGAGGACAACCAAGTTTGCGGTCCTGAAATTCTATCATTTCCAGACAGAGGGAAGAGTAGGTGTGGGTGCAAACTAGGAAGCAATTTAAGGCAATTTTCGACTAAAAGGAGAAAGGAAGAGGAAGAAGAAAAGAAGAGGAGGGTTCAAAGTCAGTTCCCAGGGAGTTTACAAGAGGAAAACGCTGGCTTTTCTTCTCAACCCCGACAGCCTAACCTGCTTACAGATCTTTCCCCTCCACTCACCCACAAAAACATGCACAAGAGCAAGACCATGACAGAGCACACTGCGTCAGGAGTCAGTAGCAAAAGTCTCAGTCCTACAGGCCACAATCACTGTGGGTGCCCTTAACTGACCTTAGAACTCTGGCTCTCAGCTCTACTCAAGATCTTTTTGTCACATTCTTAGCTGTAAGTTTACTGACTTTGTACTTCAAATCCAACCTCTTTCCAAATCCTGCATAAATTTATTTTAAAGGGATTTTATGTCACTACTATACTAGGTAGAATATGGTATTCTACCTAGTCCCTGAAAACCCTCTTTTTCAGAACACTCTCGTTCTTCCCCTGATGTCGCACTTACTTCCTAGGATGCTGTTTGCCAGTGTCTTTGGTCCTGGTACCCTCCTGACTCCTCTAGGACAAGTCACTTCAGCAGGCACAGCTGCCTAGCTATCCACTTTCCCAGATGTGGTATCATGGGTCTGCAGCCTGGCCCACAGGCAGCTATGGATCCCAAACACTGCTTCTCTGTCCGGTAGAATATGGTAGAATACCATATTCTCCATAGTCACTACCATACTATGGTAGAATATGGTATTTATAATAAAAGCAAATATTTAAAATCTTAGCTATAAAATTATAGCCAACTTCTGACACCTTTGAGCCTGCAAGAGGATCACTTCATTAAAAATGAGAAACACTATTTGACACAATCAAAACGATAAAAAGAATTGAAAAAGTCAACGAGTCAGTACTATTTCGGGCACCCAAATTATGCATTAGTCTATCATCTTTGTCTACCACTTCCCATACTGAAGGAAACTCTGGACCAGATTGATTATATTCAAATGTGTTCTAGTAACGAAGTCTTTTCAAATGAAAGCTCATGTTTACAAAAAATGAAGCAAAATAGAAGCTCTTTGGTAGATTGAGAACAGAGCCTCAAAGGTGGTTGGTCCATTGGCACCTTTCCCAGGTGTGGACCTGTGGATCTTCTGACCCCAGTCTGTAGCCAGCCCAGTGCAGCCCGGACAGCATGAAGCAGTAACTGGGAATCCAGGGCTTCTCAGAACCTTCTTGTTCTTCCCCTGGTGTTCACACTTACTTCCTAGGATGCTGTTTGCCAGTGTCTTTGGTCCTGGTACCCTCCTGGCTCCTCTAGGACAAGTCACATCAGCAGGCACAGCTGCCTGGCTATCTACTTTCCCAGATGTGGTATCATGGGTCTGCAGCCTGGCCCACAGGCAACTATGGATCCCAAACATTGTTTCTCTCTCTAGAAGTCAGCACCCCCAGGTCTGCCCCTAGTCTAACATGGGCAGTGGGCTGAGACAGAGAAGCTGAGGTCCCAAGGCATCGCAGGCAGGGTCTGAGCACACCTGATGCATGGCGGGCAAAGCGGGGCTCCTGCTTGCTGACGGGGATGCTCGGGAGAGAAGCCCGGTTGGCCCGCTTCCTCTGGAGGATGCCGCTGTTGTTTCTGCGTGGGCTGCTCAACCCAGTAGGCACAGACAGTGTCCCACTGCCCCTCAGGGGAAGGAGACCTGTGGAGACAGAAAAAGTTCTAGGACTAGGCCAGTCTTGCCTGTCCCTGGCCGCAGTGTCCCCTGTGGACCAGTCTCAAGGTAGGGAGGGAATGAAGCTGCAAACAGGCCCCTCCTTTGGCAGGTTGAGGACCCTGGGGTTGACCAGGAAGTTCCCCAACCTGAAGGACTCTGCCCTGTGCAACTAGTACCTTCCTTCACTAAGGCACTCCTTGAGCCCAGGCCCTGGGAAGCGAGCTCCCACTCCCTCTCTGGTTCCTTTGCCCTCCGGAACAACTCCATCTCCTTCATCTGCTTCAGCCGCATCTTCTCCTGGGCAGACCTGGAGATGGTGACCTGGAACTGGCACAAGGTCAGAGCAAACTCCATTAGCCTGGGGTATCCAACCATACTTTCCACACCTTCATTCATCCAGTCATCAACAGGCCGGGGATACAGCTCAGTGGCCTAAGTGCCTGCCTGGCAATCACGAGGTCCTGTGTTCGATTCCCGGTACCAAAAAAAAAATTCCATCCAGTCATCAAAACTGTGCGTGCCTCCCTGTGCCTATCACTGTTCTGGAAGGGAATAAAAAAACAAATAAAGTCCTGCCCCCCCCAAGAGCTGCGTAAAATGGGGAGAGAGACAATAAACAGACCAATCTCTAATGTCAGAGAGTGTGGTAAGAGAAACGTATGGAGATAGATGTGACAGTGGCCTTTGTTTTACATAAAAAAAGCCTCAGAGACTCCCTGCAGAGGTGAAATTTAAATGGAAACGTATATGAAGGGTGAGAGCAAGCCATGCAGTTTCCAGAAGAGAAGTGTTCTTAGCATAGCAAATGCAAAGGCCCTGAGAGCAGAGTATGCCTATGAGGACACCGGCCACAGCACTGTGAGTCGGGCAGGGATAGGACACAGGTTGGGAGGTGACAGGACTCATTCCACGGAGGGCCTTGTAATACACAGCGAGGCCCCGGGCTTCCTCTGAAGGTCGCATTTAAGGTTTTGAGCAGAGATTCTGGAGTGGGATCCTTTCTGGGGAGGGAAACAGTGACTGAGATGAACTGACTTCCTTCCATCTGGGGATAGTGGCTACACTGACAGTCATTTTCCATAGCTTTTTACTTGAAATGCCTTGAGACGCATAGAACTTATAGCTATAGGACCAAGAGTTCCTGTGCCTCCCTCAGCAGCACCATCTTTGACAGACACAGAACCTCTGGCTTCCATTTCCCCAGGATCAGGCCGGCTGGGATGGAGATTGAAGGTTGCTGCAGGTGGAGCAGGCACAGTAGCTAGGAGACAACTGAGCACTCAAGCAAGAGGTGAGCGGCCTGGAACAGGACAGTAGAGTGGGGACAGTGGACCCAACAGTGTTTCCCATCTTTACTGATACATGAGGTGTCAGGGAGAAAGGGGTCAGGATGGGCTGGGATTTGGGGTCCTGTAACTAGAAGGGTGGAGCTGCCTTTCCCTGCTCCTCACTGACAGGGAGGACCCAGGAGCTGTGTTTGAGGCAAGGAAGGTTGGAAATATCATGAGATAGGGGAGTGCAGGTGTGGAGTGGAGCTGAGTAAGTGAGTCGGGGGCCAGAAGAACGTGTGAGTTGGCAAGGGAGTTTAGCAATCCCATGACACCTCGTGTCAGGGGCCAGAGGAGGCCTGCTGGGGGGATATAATAGACCTGGGGCCAAAGGACCATGCTGCTGGGGACTTGGCCCCTAGAATTCGGAAGAAGAGACAGCAAGAAAGGCAGGGAAGAAGCTGCCTTTGATGCAGACAGAGAACCTCCACCCCTGCATGGAGATTTCAAGGGGGGCAGCCCCCAAGCTGAGTCAAAAGCTGCCTCTGGGTCAAGGTAGAGCTGAGATGTGACTGTCATGTGGAAGGTAAAGGGCACTGGTGACCTCAGTGCAGGCAGTTTCTGCGGGGCAGCAAGGACTCGCCCAAGGGGCGGGTGTTCAAAGAGATGGGAAGAGATATCCATACAGTATATTTGTTTGGGTTTTGTCCTGTGCTTAAAATGAAAGAAGCAATGAGAGGCATGACCCAATTTCAAGGAGAATGTTGTTGGTGCAAGAAAGTGCTCAAAAGCTGGGGTTAGAGCATCGGGTAGACTGAGTCAGAAGGACAGGAGATAGTGGGGAGCACAGGGGACCTATGGAATTGGGGTACTGCAGAGGATAGTGATTTTCAGTGGCACAGCTGGTAGAGAGACCAAGAGTGAGCCACTGAGGCGAGGCAGGGGATGAAACATCTCGCTGCATGGAATTATCAGGACTGTTGACCTTCTGTGGCCTGGCCCTTCCCACGGTGCTCACCGGGTCCCGTGTCACCCAGTACCTACATGGAGTAGCCCTCAAGGTAGTTCACTGAGCTGAACTGTGACAACTCTGTGTCAAAGAATAAGTCCCGATTTCAAGTTTTACTAAACTCATCCCAACTAGGAAAGAGAAGCCACCTCCCCAAGGTCACCTTATAAAAGCAAAGAATCTGTCAGCCTGTCCAGCACAGCCTCCGGCCCGGCAGCCCAAGTCAGCTGCTTCTGCGTTGCTATATTGGGGCTCAGCTCATATTACTCAGCTTGGTTCACCTAAGCCCTCCGTCTTCTCCCTCACATCCTGCTTCCTTCTGGCCCACATGTGACCTTCCTCTGTGCTTCCTCCTCCCCACCCCTGCCCCTCAGCAGCCCCCTGGACTCTTTCCTTCACCCAGTCTCTGCCCTCACTGCCCGGCCTTGTTTATCTTCCGCTCCTCAGCCCTCCACCAGACCTGGACAGGCCGCAGCCCTCAGCTCTCCCGGCCTCTGCACTCTCTCCCATCTGCTGGCTCTACACTTGCTTTCAATCAACTGGTGGTCCACTTCCACCTGATCTCCTCCTCCTCTCACTGCTCAGATACCTTGGTGCTGGCTTCCTTCTGGTCTTCTGCTTTTGGCAAGGGTTGGGCTTCTTTGGCATGGCCGAAGGAGAAGGTTGTCAGCACAGGAGCAGACTGGGAGGAGGCCAGGGACTTCTTGGAGGCCGCAGTGGCAGACCTGTCTCTGATGGGTGGGGCCAAAGGTTTGGGCTCTGAGGAGTCAAAAGCAGAGATGGAGCTGAGGACACTCTGTGGCTGGTATGACTTCACTGCCCAAGTCCTCCACCCTCCGTTCTCCTGCCCAACACTGCCTTGATGGAGGAAGTTAGATTCACTCTACAGAGCAGCTTTGCAAAGGATACTGGGAAATCATGTCATCCTCCATTCATTCATTTATTCATGCACTCATTCACTCATTCTATAAGTACTTCACACCTTATTCTAAAATAAGGGTTGGGCAGGAAACAGGGTCAGGAAGAGAAACAAATACAACGAGCCCATGACCATTTTATACCCATAGAGCAGAGCTGGAAGAGGCCAGAGAACTAACTATGATGGTCAGTCTGTTCATCTCACAGATGGCAAAGCTGAGATCCAATGACCTTCAGATGCCCTTGTGATTGAAAAACTACAAGTTCACCTCCAAAACATATCAAATCCATAGCATCTTTTTGTCACTCCATATATTCCCAATCAGTGGATTTAAAGTATATTTATTATTATGGAGACAGGGTGGAAAATGATTCCTTGATTTCCTCCTGGTCACCAGGTTTAAAGCTCCCTGTCCTTGGGAGAACCTGCAGAGCAGGGCCCCTGGGATGGTGGCCCGTGCAGAGCTGCCCCCAGCTGCAGAGGGCATCAGAGGGCTTCTGTACAGTGCTCTGCTTACCTTGCTCACCTGCTTACCTTGGGGCAGGGGAAGGATCGGGGCCAAGCAGGAAGAGGGAAGAGGGACTCAAAAGTAAAAGGCAGGGCAGAGGGCACTCGTATCCAGGGGACAATGGGGCAGGATGAGGTCTGCAGGAATGCCACAAGGTACGGAGTCCCCTCAGCCGCAGCTAACTGTGTGTTTGGCACGTGACACAGATCATATGCTCTCACCCCCAGGTGACAGGCTGGGGAGTCAGAGAACGTCCCCTAAGGACTTTGCTATCTTGTAGTCACATTCTTACCTACGCCCCTAAGAGACACCTAGGAAAGTCTGTCTGAGCAGCCTTCCAAGGCCCCCAGTGATGGGGTCTCCTGGCCCAAACCCCCATGTCAGCAGTCACAAGGGTAGCTCATGTGTCACCTGGGGTCACCCGCCACTGCCAGCCAGAGGTCAGGGGAGAAGCAGCTGCCACCAGGTTTGGTGCCAGGGCTGTCTCACAGCCCAACTCAGCGTCCTGTCCCGGGCTTCTTGGAGAAGGGCCGGCTGCTTGCTCACCTGCTGAGCCCATTAGCAAGGGGGCCAGAAAGCCAGTCACCTCCTGCTGGTCAGCAGCTGCCACTGCCACCCACCGCCCAGGGCGGCCACTCACCCAGCCTGCCAGAGCGCTGGGCCTCGCTTCCCACCCCACAGCCACAGCGCGGCTGGCTCCCTGTCCCTCCCCACAGCGCTGGGTCCTCAGGCCCTAAAACAGGCCCCTCTCCCCTCCTTCTCCCTGCCTCTGAACGCCCCCTGCCCTGCCCTTCTCCTCACGTTCATCCTGGAGTTGGCCCTGTTCCCCTGACTAGACCTGCTGGGACCCACAGACGGCAGGGTTTGTGGGCTGTGGTTTAATTTCTCACTCTGCCCAGAGCTTTAAACAGAGCAAGGGGCCACAGCACCGAGTATCACCGAGTATCACCCCCAGGGCAGGTCTGACAGGGAGCAGGGATGACGCACCCCTCCCTGGGCCTCAGCCGCCCTTCATCTGTCAAACAGGACAGCGCAGTCCCTCCTGTCTGGGCCTCCACAAGCTACGCGAGCCAGAGTGAGTCAACATGCCTGGCAGAGCTGCTGCCACCGCCACTGCTCCTTCCCTGCCACCCTGCCACCTGGGGCCACAGGTGACCTCAGCTTCCCTGTCTGTGAGGGGAGGGGCTCAGAGGGCCCTCAGGCTCCCCTGCGCACCCCTGCCCGGGAACAGAAGACTCAAAACTCCGTGTGGGGCACTGCCTGCAGAGAACACGTACCTGAAGATTTAGGGGTCTTCTCTTGAGGCCCACTCTCCTGAAGCAGTCTTAAAAGAACAGAGGAAAAGTAGCAGGGTGAGAGATGCCAAGCACAGGTGCTGGGGAGGAGGGGGCCCCTGGGTGGCTTGAAGCAGCGGCACCCACACAGTGACGGCCCCCCACCCCCGTGGTGGCTTCCCGGGCCACAGGGCAGCAGGGCAGCAGCTGCAGCAGGAGGGTAAATTGTCCCCCAGCTCAGAGCTCAAGTGCTATAAACACCCCTACCCAGGAGAGCTCAGTGGTCCCCAAATATTCCTCCCCGCCTCTGCCATCCTTCAGGAAAATCTGAAGGGTTTAGGTCCTTTTGCTGTAACTGAAAATTGTCATTTTTTTGTACTAGAAGTTCAAATTTGATCAGCCACAGGAAGGGAAGATGGGAACATTCCTGACCCTAGTTTTGATTTCCATTTTTAAAATGGAAAGTGCTCTTTACTCATTCAACAGATATTTACTGAAGACCTACTATGTGCCAGACAATTGCTGAACAGCTACTACGTGCCAAACACTGTTGCAACACTGGCAATGCAGCATCCATCTGACAGAACGCAGTTCTTGCTCTCACGCAGGTTAGAGTCCCAGGGAAGCCAGCTGTGCTGTAGCCAATAGGACTTTCTGCTCACCAGTCATCAGGACCCACTGGGGCTGGCAGGGTAGTCAGCCACCACCAGCAGACTGGGATACGTCTGGCCTTCGATGGATTCTCAGCAGACAGACCCAGCCCAGGGTAGGCAGGAGAATGGGCAATACAGGTGTCTCAGAGGACCTAGCGCTGCTTCCTTCACCTTCTCCTTGCTAGAGACCCCATAGCAGGAAGGACCGAAGCCAGGATAGACCCTGCCCACCAGGGTCCCTCAACACACAGCGTCCTAGTTCCTTCTCCTTCCTGCCACGCCATCTTCCCTTTCCCACCAACCCTAGGCCACACAGCGCAGTGGGGCATGTCCCAGGGCACCACAAGCTGGACCCACCTGAGAGCAGCCGCCCCACTGTCCCCAGCTCCAGTCTGCTCCCCACTCCCTGTCTCCACACGGGGTTCCAGCACCCATCCAGCACAGGGCTTAGCTCCCCTCTCTGACACACACCCAGTCTGTGCCTGGCTGCCCCTGCTCCCTCCCCTGTTCACCCTCTTGAAGACCCCAGCTTCTGCCTCCGCCCTGTTCAGGCACCTCCAGCTTCTCCCCTCTCAAGTCCTGCCCCGGCCTTCATCCCAGAACGTACCGCCACACCACCCTGTGGCTGCTGAAATCAACTCTCTGGAGCTCATATGCTCTGTCCCACTCACCTTTGTTTCTAAGTAGGTAATTAAGAGCCCATGTAGGTGGATGGGTGAATGAATGACATGGCAGTGGAGCCTCCTTCCCATCCATTTGCTGTAGAGACTCACAGAGTCTCTGATGAGAAATCCCAGTCCCAACCCAGCAGCATGGGGCAGGTGTTTATTATGTAACTAAACCATGCCAAAGGGCCAGGCATGGTGGTGCACACCTGTAATCCCATCCCAACACTCTGGAGGCTGAGGCAGGAGGATTATCATGAGCTTGAGGCCAGCATGAGATGCATAGTGAGTTCAAGGCCAGCCTGAACTACATAGCAAGACCCTGTCTCAAAAGGCAAAACAAAACTAATAATAATAATAATAATAATGATAACCCATGCCAGGGAGCCACAGAGACTTTGAGATATAGTCTCTGCTCTGCAATGCTCCAAGTTAAGGAGTAGAATGAGGTTTAAATGAGATAAATAAAATATGCAAATACGAAAAAATTTACAAAGCCAAAATTTGTTATTTAAGTAACATAATGAAAGGAGCAGGACAGTAGCAGTGGAATGTGCAGAGTAAGGAGTGAAAGAGTGGTGCTGGACAGCAGAGATGGGCAAGGGGCAGCACCGTCGGGGACACGACCTTCCCGTCCCACAGACAGCACAAGCGCGGAGGGGTAAGGTTTCCGCAGTGCAGCAGAGGAGGGAGGGCTGAGGTTCAGACCAAAGAAAATCATCTTAAAGGCAGCACAGGAGAAGAGAACGGCAGGAGAGTCAGAGAAGAACAGGCGGGAGGGATGGAGAATGGAAGAGAATGGAGAGCAAAGGGCACGGACAGCAGATTAGGAGGGGTTGCGGGGAGTCAAGAAGGAGCCAATAAGAGAGATGAGAGGGCAGGAGCGAGACCAGGGTGGGAGCTCTTGTGTTGTTGCTGTTGCAGCAGACTTGAGGGGACGTGGCAATCAGCAGCAGGCGGCACCAGGAGGAAACGTCCCAGACCCCCTCATCTTGGTGGAATAAAAGGTCCCAGGAGCCGGTAGTTCAGGGCGCCTCTGGCCATAACCCTGGCACATCCTCCCTGCCTCCCTCTCACACTCAAGTCAGGAGGAGCCGGAAATACCCAGCTGCAGCAGGGACCCCTGGGAAGATGGCAGGGCCAGGGCAGGAGATGTAAGGACACCCAGACTCGTGTGACCTGGAGGCCACACACACAGATGAGGCCCCAAGGTGAAAATGAGGCAGGCCTGGGAACCAAGTGCAGGAACAGCCAGGCTTAACAGATGGATGAAAGAGGACACGCAGGAGAAGCCCTGGCAGGTCAAGATCTAGCATACCAAAGTTCAAGGGCTGTCAGTGATCCAATCAATGAAAAAGAAAGTCAAGAGTAAGGAGATAAGAGAAAAGACCAGAGAGTCATTGTAACCCTTGATAATACTGTGCAGAGGGCGGAAGAGGCCATGGAGAGCGAGGGGGGGTCAGTGGAGCAGACAGCAGTCTGAGGAGGCTGATGGTACAAATCAAGTGGAGGACTCACATCCAGGAGCAAGTACGTGGACAGGTAACCACGCCCCACCAGGGCGGGAGAGATGTGGGAGTGTGAGTACCGGCAGAAGAGAAGGCAGCACGGGAGACGCCAGTGAGGAGGCTTAGGGAGATGGGAGAATTCAGAACATCAGGCGGAAGAAACAGAAAGGAGGAAGTCACGGTAGGACCTGACTGACTGCATGAGCTGGGCCCATGGGCTGTGAGCACACACTCACACACAAATATGCCTGCACTGAGACACATACAACATACACAGACACAGATACAGACACACGCAGGCATTTCTAGCTGCACATGAACATGTACACATGCACACACGGACACATACAGAGGTACACACATAGACCCGTAAAGACATACACACACACACAGGCACACATATACTCACGCACACACATTTGCTCTAGTGTCTGTTCAGATTGACAGGGATGTAGGGCATACTCTCTATCCTACTGATGAGCCATAAACCCAGATTCATCGCAGTATAGCGCTCCCTTACCCTTCTGAGTCCCCGCCTTTTGGGGGTATGAAGACACCTTTTTAAATTCAAAGGTTTATGGACTACACCCCACCAACACAATAAGGGCTATACTTCTAGTATCCAACAATTAAGAAAACACATAAAAAAAAAAAAGGCTAGGTGTGGTGGCGCACGCCTGTAATCCCAGCACTCGGGAGGCTGAGGCAGGAGGATCGTTGCAAGTTCAAGACCAGCCTGGGCTACAAAGTGAGCCCAAGACCAGCCTGAACTGCATAGTGAGACCCTGTCTCCAAAAAAAGAAGAAAAGAAAAAGAAAATATATAACAACAAAGAGCTATCATGAGTTCAGTCATACTCCAAAATAATTTGTATTTTATTCATCATTACAGCAACCACAGACATCAAGAAAAGGGAGAGGAGAGAGGCCTGAGACATTGTCACGCCCTCATACCCAGCCTGCTGGAGCTCATGATCAGAGACTGGCAGCAATGCTGCAGCCTCCACCTCTGCCTCCCACATGCTGCCATCCCAGAGTTGTGCCCAGGCACATGAGCAGCCCCAGTGGGTCTTGGGGGTGGGGGAGAAAACACAGCAAGGCTTGGCACGGGGCTCTTACCGTGTGGGGGGAGGCCTTGTTCCCGTGAGGACATCGTGGCCCGGAGCCAAGGGGCTGGGAAGAGGGCCAGGCCTGCTGGAAGAGGTCCCCACGGACACTCCTGCCTTTGGGATGGGGGGGATCACGATGCCTCCCAGTGACTTCTGCATCTTCTCGTCATTGCAGTGCAGGTATTGCCGGGAAATCTGCACCTGGGAGCGGAGGGCTCTGGTTCACGGCAGCCTCCCACTCCGATGCTCCGCTCCAAGCCCTCACAGGCTGGGGCCAACTGCCGGGAGGTGCCTTCTGGTTTCCCTTTTCAGCCGCACAGGGACCCCCAGAAAGCTCAGTGTATCCACAGCACTCCAGCTGAGACACCTGGCAAGCTTTCTTATTATTATAATTACTACTTGTTTTTGTTGTTGTCGTTCTCATTTCAGAAATAACCTAGAATGTCAGAGCTGGAAGGACTCTCAGAAATATCTGATCCAAACCTCTGTTTTAATAGATGGGCAAACTAAAGCCCAAGGAGAGGCAACCCACACAGCCAGTGAGGGGCAGAGCCCAAATTCAACCTCAGCCCAGCTTTCTTTCCCCACTGCCATACACCCTAAAGGAGAGGGCCAGACATTAGGCAGAACTCCAGCATACTAAGACCAAGGAAGGCCTGGAGACCACCGACTCCAGGGGTCATGTGGCCTCTGCCCCTCCAGAGCTTCCGGGTCAGCTATGAAGGTTTTGTGTGCTGAGGGGTGAGGGAAGGTGAGACCTCTTCCAGTGTTACTGCCATCCTTGAGGACAGCATCCAGCACACCTGCGGGGATGCTCAAGGTACAGGAGCAGGGGTTTGGATGGAAAGGGTAGACAGACAGAGGACAGCTGCAGGAAAGACCGTGGAACCACCTTACCCCCTGAGTGCCAGCGCTCAGCTCCTGGGCACCCTGCCTGCTCCCGGGAAGGTCCAGGCCCTTCTCTTTGGCTCCACTGGCTTCAGGGGTGGTAGGGATGCTCTGGATGGGAGGCATCGGCCTGGGCACCCTCAGCAGTCTCTGGGAGGTGGTGCGGGGGACGGTGCTCCGCAAAGGGACTCCTTTGGGGCCTCCCCCAAGATCCAGAGAGGCTGCACAGGGGTGGAGAAGGGGAATGAGTTAGTCCAAAGGGAATGGAGAGTGGCGGCTACACCCAAGCCTGGCGTTCTAAGGCAGAATGGATGACCCCAGCCCCACTCCATCAGCAGACTGATGGTGCTGACCATCCTCTCGCAATGAAAGCCACCCATTTACAATTCCGAGGCAGTGGGGTAGGAAGGGAAACAAAACCAGTTCTCGGCTTGGGACTAAGGACAGCAAGTTCTGGCCCTAGATAGAAGCCATATGACCTTGGGCACGTCACTGTCTGTCTGACACCACATGTTCCTCTGTGAAATGGGATATTCACAGAGACTCAGTGACACCACTTATAAAATGCCAAGCCAGTGCCTGGCATGGGATGAGGGCCAATCAATTCCTTCTGTTCCTCCTCTACTTGCAGTTAATGAAGTATAGCTGTGTTGGCACTCCTATCACAGCCTGAAAGACAGAGCTATACTTGCAACCCTTAGGGTAATACTTTCTGTGTCCGGTGGACATCTTCCCTGGCCCCTGCCCCGTCCCACCCTGCACAGCAGCACCCCATGGCAGGTACACAGAAGCCAACCCCAGCAAGTTGCTGGAACACCTGCTGATCCTCACAGCCTAGGGGCCCAAGGGCCCTGACCTTGGGGCGGGGGGATGGCAGGCGCCAGGGACCAGGGCTCACCTCGCAAAGATGCTGCCATGCCCTCCGACAGCCTCCTTTTCTTGAGTTTGTCCTTGATCTGGGTGGTGTCCCTGGCCACACTGTTGGCCTCTGACTCCAGCAAGGTGACAGACACCTGGGGGCGAGGCCCCCAAGACAGAGCTGCAAGGTCCCTGGGGTGGCCATTCCCGATATGCCAGCCCTTCAAAGGGCCAGCCAGTGTGACGCTGCCTGGGTCCCCACATCCACTCAAGGGCTGCGATGGCTTCTCATTGCTCAGCAGGACACTTGGTGCAGGCTGGATGGAGGCTGAGGGGGGCAGAGATATATTAACTTGGCACTTAGCCTACAGTAGCACAAGTACTGGTAAATTCATTGGCATTGCTTCCATGGCACAGTCACTTGGCATTCCAGTTCCTCCAGAGGGCAACTTACACATTCAGCAGTGTCTATGAAGCACCTGGCCTGAGCAAGACCTGTGTCACAGGACACTCAGGGAACAGAAAAGGGAATCAATATGCAGCACTAGCACAGCACAGATGAGGGACCACAAATCCTGAGGAAGGGGAGCCCATCTGCCCAAGGCCACATCCACCCACCTCCAGGAAACGCATGCAGGTCCCTCCAGCACTGATGCGCACCAACCACAGCCCGGCAGTTAGGTGACTGGCAACAAGTCATGCCCAGAGGTGGACAGGAGTCCACCAATTATTCATGCAGTCTGGGTGTGAAGCCCCAGCACCTGAGCCGCAGATAACAGACTACAGCTGCCTCACAACACAAGCGGAGCCAAGCTCTGGGTCAGCCGCAGGCCTGTAAGGGAGCTGGCCCAACAGAACCCTCAGATTCCCCATCCGGAGTAAGGGATGGAGCTCTGCTGAAAAAAGTCTGCAGATGGAAGCTGGAGCAGAAGGTGGTGGAGAAGCTAGGGTGGAGACGAGAAAAGTGTCACAGCCGGGCTGACGCAATAGCAGCGCCGACACAATAGCAGGGCCCATCTCCGCTACCCAGGGCCTGATCCTCTCCCAGGTCCTGAGACACAGACCCCACAGAGCAAGGCCCTGTCCTCATGGGGCTTGTGGGGCTCCCCCAGTTTCCCAAAAGAGCCAGCCCTCCATTCCTGGTGTCCATGCCTGGCAGCCCCATCCCTTGAGGTCCAGAGCTGAAAGAACCTGTGCGAAAACCAAAAGGCATTTGCAGCCAGGGCCACAGTAAAAATAATACCCACACAGTGATACACACTTATAGTCCCAGCCCTTGAGAGGCTGAGGTAGGAGGACCCTTGAACCCAGTGGTCCTGGGCCAGCCTGGGGAACACAGCAAGACCCCACCTCAAAACAAAATAAACAAAAACCACCCACTGTAGCTTGACAACACCCTGGGCATCCATCCCAACACCTTCACTTCCCCCTGCCAGGCCGAGGCCCAAGCTCTGTCCTGTGGTCAGTGGCCCTGACTGGGCAGCTGTCAGGAGGAGTCTTCCAACCTCCACCAAAGTCCTCCAAGGCCACTTAGTGTGGCCAGACCACCAGGCCACGCCCTCCCATCTCACCTGGGCTGTAAGCTGGCAGAGTAGCGCTGATGCCTGCAGGCAGGGGCACGCGGGGCCCAGCCCTGGTCCTAGGGACGCTCCCACAGTACACGGCCACCGGAGCCAGAACCTTGGCTGGGGACAGAAGAGGAGAGACACGCTTTAGAGTCGTCTAAGGCCTGAACTGAGAACACCATCCCCAATTCCTGAGTCCTTTGGCCTTGAAGGCCCTGCCTGAAGTGCTAAGGGCATGTGACGGCCCAGCCCTGACTCAGGAGCCTGGCCTACCGGTGGGAGACTGACCAGGCAGTGCTGCCCTCCCCACAGGACCCCACCTACCCTGCTGCCAGCCTCTTGGCCTAGCTCCCTCTCCTCCCCCACTCGCTTGCTGCCTCTCTGCCTGCTTTCTACCCCCTAGGCTTGCTCCAAACCCCAGGCCAGGCCTTTGTTCTCCCCCACATGGGGTCCCCTCGGGCCTCCCCCAATGACATTGACCCCTGTCGTGCACAGCCGTAGCCTCTGTCACCATGCGTCTCACACTCACGGCTGTCCCTGAGCCACTTCCTCACTGCCACCTGCTTCAGGCAACAGCCTGCCCAGGGAGTCTGACGATGACGCTGACACAGAGCATTCCGTTACCTGGCCACCAAGTTCTGCATCAGCGCAGCCTACAGATCTTCCCTCTTCCCTCTGAGCTCCCCAGGCTCTGACGGCATCCTTCGTCACCCCGCAGACGTTCACTAACGCCTGCTCTGTGCAGGGATTCTGGCCCCCCACACCCGGACACACAGGCTGAGCAAAGCCGACTCAGCCTTCATGGAGGCCCAAAGGCTGGTGGAGGACACAGTGATGAGTGAGCGAGCAGTGGCAGTGGGAGGCCTGGGAGCCCTAGTCACGGGCAGGAGCAGTGAAGAGCTCCCTGAGGGAGGGGTGCCTGGGCTGAGACAGGAGCAGAGCCGGGCAAGGGCCGAGAGACAGCTCAACTAAGGCCTCACTCCTTTAAGAGGCCGCCCCCTTCTATGGCCCCACACCCAGCCACACCTCCCCGTGGCACTCTCCTCCTCAGGAGCTTCCATCCTGCCTTGTGGCTTCCTCGGTACCCACCTTGCAGCAGGCACTTACACGTCAGCCCTGCTCCCTCATGGCACTGCCCCTCCCAAGGCACCTCAGAACCACCATGGGGCCTTAACCTCCCACCCAGAGAACCCCACACACATCTTCATCCCCAGGAGAAGGCCCCGAGACCAGCACTCAGAAATCTAGGTTCCCATTTCTGTCACTGTGTGAGCTCAAGGAAATCAGCTAACCTGAGTCTCAGTCCCTCCACCAGTAAAGCAAAGCGGTTGAACACAGAATTCAAACAACACCCTCATTCTACTTCTAGACTTGTAGATTTTTCTCGAGCCCTCAGCATCTCTCACTTCTCCACTGCAGTGTAAAGCTGAGGCGGTCTGACGTGGTCTGACGCTTTCATAAGAACGCATCAGAGCCCAGGGTGTCTGTCTGAGCATGGGCCCTGCCGCCGAGCTGCCCTGCTCTGGCCATCCTGGTTCTCTATCTTCCTTGCAAAGGTCATCTGGTCCCTCTCCTAGGTCCTTGGGGGTTAAACAACTCTGACCTCATAAGCATCCAGTCTATCTGGGGCAGAGCCAGTCCTCCTAGAGCTGGAAACTGAGGCTCAGAGCTGGTTCCCCAAAGACAGAACCAGGACTGGACCCCCAGCCCCTGCATTGAGTTCTTGCTCCCCTACCTGGGCAGCTAAGGAAACAGGTCATCTACATTTGGCAAGGGGCCAGCCCACACCCCTGCAGAGCCACAGGGCAGTGTCAGCCCCAAGGAGACACCCCACTGCACCTCAGAGTCACGGCAAAGCTCAGGTGAGTGCCCAGGACAGTCTGAGCCCTCTCTTCCAGACAGCCACCCAGCCTGCCAAGCAGGAGGCCCAAGGTCCGTCCACACGGCAAGAGCTGAAAGTGGTGAAAAGGCACAGCCCCTGGCCACATCTCCCAGACAGAGAATCCACGGGAGGCCCCACTCTGTAAAATACTAGGAAGCATGCCCCCTAGTGCCCCTTACCTGGGGGGACATCGTCACGGGAACCCATGCCCTGGAGAAAGAAGGTGCCCACGAGGCTGTCTGGAGACAGCAGCGATTCCTGGGCCCTGAGCACAGGCCTTGGAGGTCCAGAGGGTTCTGACCTGTGACATCCAGGGACCTGGGGTACAAATGAGCAACAAATACTTTAAACCACCACCCAGAAAGCCCAGAGCAGCTAACATAGCTGCAGTGACAAGTCTGCCACAGGGCCCAAGGATACAGAGATGTCTTTTCTGACACCCAAACTTTCTCAGACATCACAAGCTCCATGTCCCAAAACCACTTGACCTTTCATAATCAAGAATGTCAGAAAAACCCAAGCAGCCTGCCATACTTTGTCACTTGCAGATGGATCCTTCAGGGGTCTCAGGGAAGGTGAGACTCTGAACACTTTTTCATTCGTTCCTATTTTCTTCAAAAGCCCTTCACTCCACCAGCTGCTCTGAAAGCTCATGGTGAGTGTTGAACTTCTGTGCTCATCCTCATCACCTCAGTGGTGGGGTCTCCCCAGAAACTGACTGCTCTGGTTTAAATATGAAGTATCCCCCAAAGAATCATGCACTCATGCACTGCTCCTCAGTGCAGCAGTGCTCCAAGGTGAGGTCTAAAGAGGTAACCGGATCAGGAGGGCGCTGTCCTCATCAGTGAGTTCATGCATTGATGAGTTCAGAACTGAGCGGCTCTCAGGAGATGGTGCCCGGGAGGAAGTGGGTCACTGGACGGGGGGTGCCTCTGAAGGCTAGGTCTCATTCCCAGCCCCTTCCTCTCTTTCTGGCTGCTAGGAAAAGCCCTGTCCCACACACCCTTCAACCACGATGTTCTGCCACACCTCAGGCAGAGAAACATGGAGTCCACTCACTATGGACTGGAACCCCTGACACTTCAAGCCAAAACCCATTTTCTTCCTATAAAGTTTTCCTTTCAGGTCTTTTGTCATAAGAACAAAAGTAACACACCGGTTCTCCTGGTTTTTTTGGGTTGTGTCTGTCTCAATCCTCATGTTCTCAGCCCTCACTCTTATCTTACTGAACACATAACTCTTTTGGCCCTCTCACCCACATCTGGTCTTGCTACCCAGATCTGACCACCCCAGGCCTCTTCCCAGCCTCCTTTGCACCTTTGAGGTCAGCCGTGAGCTCTTGCCCTTGACATGACTCCAATTTCCTGTGGCATAGGTCACTGTCACTTCACATAATTTTATGATGAAGTGGGAACGTGGACAGCCAAGGCTGATTATCAGTAAAATTAGAGTAAAGCCAGGCCACATCTCCTAATTTCTATACAGAGAGCACCTGCCTTCAGGTACCACCCAGGTAGAGGTCAGCATACTGTGTCAACTCCCTGTTGTTGAGCAATAGATTCCAACTTGGGAACTGAGAAACTTGTCTTTGCCTGAAAGTCAGCCTGGCCCAGCCCCTAGTTGGCCCCAGAAGACAGAGCATCACCTAGCAACCCTCTGGCCAAACGGGTTATGCTCAACCCAGCCCAGTCCTGGCCCAGTCTTGTTCCAGTCTCCCCACTTAGCACATCAAGCCACTTGCGTTCTCTGGCTGAAGAGAATCATCCTCACGCAACCTGCTGTCTGGTGAATACTGGGATAAAAAGGCTTTGGCCACCTGGTGTCAAAAGCAGCTGTGAATGTCTGTGAGAACCAGTGCTACTCTCAAACAAGGTGGTGGGAGATTCTATTCCACAGGAACCAAGCCCAGCTCAAGCAGCTTAGGAAGAGGCTCACATGGTCAGTAAGGCCCAGCAGGGACGTTCCATAGTGAATTAAAGCCAATAAGCTGGAGTCCAGGGCTTTGGAGGCATGGGAGCTGCAGGTCCTACCTGCTACCCATAGTTCTGACCAGAGGATATACTTCCTATGAAAGTTATAGGTAAAAAAGCAATATTTAGGGTTGGAGGTGTGGCGTAGTACTCCCTCTCTAGGAGGCTAAAGAGACAATTTAGAGTTGCCTAAAGATGTGGAGATTCAACGGCCATTGATACTACAGTACAATGATGGGCCTTCTGAACAAGCTGCCCCCTCCTGCAGCGTTCTCAGAGTCAGAGCATCAATACCCTAAGGTAGCCCTAGTTCCTCGGGGCCTTAGGGACACCAGCAGTGCAGAAAGGAACCCAGAGCCACTCCAGTGCTTGCCAAAGCCCTCATCAAGCAGAGCCCTTTCGGGAGGGACTCTGACCTCTCAGGCCCTAGGACATACTTGAACATTGGGCTGCTTGAACAATCTGAAAGGTTTGCCATCACTCCGCTAGGGGTTCTACAGAGCAGGATGTTCCAGGAACTGGCCCACGAGGAGGTTGCCAAGGTTGCTTCCGGACAAGCAAGTACGTCCTGTGTGAGAGCTGTGAGTGGCGGAGACCTGCTCCTTGGCCACACAACGTCCCGCCCCCAAATGCACAGAACTCAGTTCTCAAGTGGTCACACCCAGCTGGCTCCCCACTTCTGCCCTTTGGTGAGGTGACACTTCCAGGCTCTCTTCTCCCACAGCTTCCCTGCCTCTCCTGGCTCCGTGTCCCTCATGGCCTCCCTCCCTCTGCCTGTCTCTGCCCAGCTGCTCCCTGGCTCTGGGTGCTCCCGTGTGTCCAAGTCCTCTCAGGGACAGGATCTGCTGTGAGGCTCCCATCACTATCTATCTATGGAGATTTCCAAACCTATTGTCTATCCTGGTCCTCCCTCTCTGGCCTCAGACCAACTGCTTTCTGGATGGTTCCCCTGGATCTCCCAGGGGAGTCACAAAGCATCCCAGGGCTCCATGTCTCTCCCCGCTTGACTGAGGAGCAAGTCAAGAAGGAAGGTCAGAAGTGGACACATAAGTGTGACAACCCCTTGGAAATTTGGGTGAAACCGGCAGGAGAGAGATGGACAGGGTAGTAGCTGCAAAGGGATGGAGGGTGGATGAAGCTGTGTATTGTTTGTTGGTTGTTTGGTCTCTGCTTTCTTAAAGGAAGTGCTAGCGTATATTGATAGGAGAAGGAGGCTGGAGAGGGGAGGGTCTCAGGGGAACAGGGCTGACTGCAGAGGGGACAGGGCCAGGTGGGAGGGAGAGGACAGGAAGTGGGAAACAGCCAGGCTGGAAGCCTTGACACCGTGGGTGACTTGGAGGCACCTCTGCCTGCCTGCCGGGCTTGAGAGGAGGACTGTGAACCAGAGAGGTTCAGAAGCAGCCACAGAGGCTGGCCTTTGACGCCTGAGAAAGCAAACGATTCTATTCAGTTCCCCAGGTCCCTCCATCTTTGGTAGCTGCGGCCAGGGCTGATTTCTACCATGACCTTTGTCCTGGTAAAGTCTTCCACTTCTAGACCTGGGTCCCAGGGTCATCTCACCAACCTGGGTTTCAGTGCCCACAACCACCATTAGTCTTTTAGACCCATGGCTGTCATTTGGGGACATCCCAGGCCCCCACTCACTCAGGCTCTGGCTCCAGCTGTGAGCAGTTTATGGGCCAGCTGGAAAACAGGGCACAGAGAACACACACGCCATGGTGTCCCCAACTCTGGAGCTCCCCCCTCTGGCTGTAGATGCCACCTTCCCATCACCATGAGATCAGGCGGGGTCAATACCCCTGTAACCCCTCTGTCCTCCAGACAATATGAGGTGTGGGTCAGCTAGCAGCGCACAGGAATATAAAGAAATACAAAGTGCCTGGCACATAGTACTAACTCAATACAGGTCTGTATCATGAAGGAGTTAAAAAAATGGGAGCACACCTTCACAATCAGTCTTGCTGAAAAGAAACTACATGAAGGAAATGAACATTTCTCAGTTCCCTGTTGCAATGTGCCGGGCACTGCCCTGCCTGCTTCCAAATATATGGCATTAAACTTTCCAAGTAGAGCAACACAGTAGATGTCATTGCCCTCAGTTTATAGATCAAGACAACTGAGGCTCGGAGAGCTCAGTAACTGCACCAGGCCACAGTCACCAAATGGAAGAGTCAGCATAGAGGGTGTCTGCTCGGGGGCTGAGCACAAAGGGTTTCGAGCCTGCATTCGGGAGTCAACAGATGGATGAGGCTACTGACTGACCTCAGGCACATTATTAAACGTCTCTGCTCAACTGCAAAATGGAGATAATAAGATCTGTCTCGCAAAACTACTTAGAGTATTCAAAAAACAGGAAAACTGTATAATCCTGAGTCTGGCCCCTAGCAATGCTCAGTAAGGCGCAGCCAACAAAGTAGTTGTTTGTGTAGCCATCCTCTTGCTGTGTCCAGCTGTCCTGGGAGGGAGAACTGTTCCCTTTGAGAGTCTTCAGGGCCAGAAGCTGCCAAAGCCTGGCTGAGGCTGAGTGGCCAAGTGAACAGGGTGAGCAGAGGGCAGTGAGCAGGCTGGGCAGGACACTCAGAACATTAGATCAAGTGCCACCTTGCTGGGAAATGCTCCAAGAGAGCCCTTCTTACCAGGACAATCTCTACGGAGGCAGTTAACATGGTAATAATGACTTCCCAGGGCAGGGTGAGGTGAGTGATCAAGAGCCTGATGCAGCACAGCAGGGGAATGTGACCTCCGTGTCCAATAGCAGCTCAGTGGAGGGGGAGGGGAAATGGGTGGACAGGAAGAAGTCAAGTACGGCTGCATACATGTATGTTTAGGGCCGGAGTATTTGTACAGACCCAACACCCAACCAGGGAATTCTGATATGAGAACCTTTGGCTAAAGGGTCTGGGAAAGCCTATGAGTGAGGAAAAATTGCACTGAGACTGTTTTTTAAAAGGAATCAAGTAAGTGACATGCAGAGCCACCATGTTTTATGATCCAGGCTGAGCATGGCACAAGGGCATATAATTAAGGGGATGCCATTCACACTGCAGACATTACAAATTCGTACATTTACTATAGTCCCTTTCTGATAAATGACACATCTTTTTCTAATTCACAAAAGGAGCTGTATGAGTAAGCTGTGACCCTCATGACAAATGGTACACAATTACGTATAAATATCCAAAGTTCAAAACCTTCTGAACCTGCTCCTAGTTGTATAAACCATGTTGATACCACTACAAATCAGAGATTAATCAAATGCATGCTACTAATTGAACAAAATTGCCTGTACCTGGTTCTCTCATCATTAAATTTAAGCTGGAGGTGGGACTGAGGTCAGCTAATCCCCTCAGGGTAAATGAGGCACTAACCAGGGGCCCAGAGAGCCTGCCTCACATGCAGTATTAGTCTGTTCAAGCTGCTATAACAAAATACACACAGCCGGCCTGTTCCAGGACCACTCCAGTAGCTGGGTTCACAGCTTCAAACGGTAGCCTGTGAACACTTAAAGATACTGAGGGTAAGACGGGACCGAGGAGAAATAAAACCTCGTTTCCAGTCAATGTCTTGACAAAGTAGTTTTGACCATGATTCTAGCACCTGAATAACTGTCACACTCCAGGACAGAATTCATGACAAAGAGCCCCATGAGAAGCTCAGAGAACGTCAGGCTCCAGCCCTGTCCTTCCAAAGGCCCACAGGAAGGTCAACTCCCTGAGGACGAGCCAGGGCCACGCATGTGCCTCTCCAGGATCCCTGCTAGGCTTCACCTAGGACACCAAGCTGGCTTCCTTGGAGGGCCATTTTCTTCTGTCCTTGTTTTATAGAAGGGAAATCTGAAGCCCAACAGACATGTGAGTGAGGCCAAGAACCAGAGATCTGGAAATCTCAGCCCTCCACACAGCTGCTTTGGACCTAGGTCTGTAGTTTGAAGATCAATGACAAAGAAGGAGTACTGCGTTCCTGAGTTCCCAAGGGGAACGGAGAGAGGGACAGAGAAATGGGGGGACAGAAAAATAGGGTTCAGTTGAGCACAATGAGGGGCTGACGGAGCAGAGGGCAGAGGTACCCAAAACTCAAAAAGTGTGGAGGAAGGCAGGCTGAGGGCAGATGCCCAACTTCCCTGTAACCAGGAAACTGCGAACATTGAGGGGCAATCGCTGCTCCCCAAAACCCGGTGCAAGTCAAGATGGGCAGCAATTCCACTCCTGGTATCCACTCTTGCAAAGGTCTTATACATGTGATCCAGGAAAGAAGCACAGGTACGATCCCAGCGGCTGTATGGGCTGTACGGCCCAAATCTGGAAACAGCGCAGATGTCCACCAGGGACACGGAGGTATTCCCTGTGGTGTGCTCATGCTGTGGAATATGACACAGCAATAAAAACCAACTACTGCCCTAGTAGAACACCATAGATGCCCATGGCAAGATCTTTAGTGAATGAAAGAAGCCAGACCCAAAGCACTGCAGTGTAGGAGTCCACTTAGATGAACTTCAAGGAAGGCTAAATGATCCTGAGTGCTGAGCAATGCATACAGGGATAAAACTCTTAGAGAAAATCAAAAGGGAATCAGGAGAGAGAGCCACCCTAGGGGAATGACAAGGATGGGGCCCATGGCGTGGGCTCTTCGATCTGCCAGTGAGTCTGTGTCCTGACTTGGGTGGTGGCCACCCAGTCACTTCATAATTATTCTGTATAAACAGTTCATTCTCCGCCTGCAAGGATGGAGGCAATGGGAGGGAGGGGCTGACATCACCCCGCCTGTCATCGTCCATGACACTCTCCCTCCCTCAAATCTGCAACCCAGGCTCCAGGGTAGAAATGGAGCCAATCCTAGGAGTCCCCAAGGGTGGAGGAACAGCCATGTGGGGCTTCCTCGCTCAGGACCCAGTCATGGGTTCCTCATGTCCCCACGTGGGCCAGGCACCCGTCTGCTTGCTAGCCTTCACTGAGGCATTACATAGCACAGACCGGCCCCTCCCACAGGGTCCCAGGGAAGGGGCCCGGTCAGGCCCCCCGCCAATGTGGCCTTGGCCTACAGAGGTGGCTGACTAAAATCTGCTCTGGAAAGGAACAGGATAATCTCCACCGGGATGATCGCAGCATTGACATGAGCTCCACTTAGCACATGGGCTAACACATCAGGTGTGCACCATCCTGTCCCCATCCCCATGGAAACTGTGAGACAGGCTTTACTGAACCCCCACTTTACAGATGGGAAACTGAGGTTCACAGAGGCAAAGAGCCCAAGTCCACATAGCTAATAAGAGTGATACAGGCCAGTGTCAGAATTCAAAGCCAACTGGGAATGGTGGCACTTGCCTGTAATCCCAGCACTCAGGAGGCTGAGGCAGGAGGATCACTGCGAGTTCGAGACCAGCCTAGGCTACAAAGTGAGCTCAAGGTCAGCCTGAATTGCATATCAAGACCCTGTCTCAAAAAAAGACAAAACAAAAACAAAAACAAAAGCAAAAAAAAAAACCCAAGAATTCAAACCCAGAGAGAGACCCTCCAAGACCTGCACCTTACCCAGATATGCCAGACCCAAGCATGGTATCTCCCTCAGCACTCCCAGGGCCCTGTGACACAGTCATGGGGAGAGGACAGCCCAGGGCAGCCTGACCATCCTCAGCTTGCAGCACCTCAAGAGCCATAGGTCCAACCTTTTCCTTCAGAGCTGGCACCAGGCAGGGGCTGTGGGCGAGGGGCTGTGGGCGAGGGAAGCTCAGAGAAGGGCAGGGGCTCCCTGCAGTCACGCAGCCTCTGCGTCATGACATGACTTTTCTGTCAGGGAGCCCTGTGTGCTTACTCCAGGTCAGGTCTTTCTCTTCCCTCCCAGCGCCCCAGTGGTCCTGACTGCCCTCCCATTCTGCCTCCCCCACCCCAACAGCTGGGTGTGCACAATGCCTCTCACCTCTCTGTCCAGAGGCCAAACCCCTGTCACCAGAGGAATCCAGGATACTTAGTCTCTCCAGACACAATGCTGCCGCCGGGTCCCAGGAGGCAAGCACAGGACCCTCCCCCGGCCCGCCCTGGCCCCTGCCCAGCCTCACAGCCGTGGGCCGCAGCCTCTTGTTGGGCGGGTTCTGGGCAGCCACAGCGGTGGCTGGCGCACTCCTATGCCCTGCAAGGTTGCCTTGAACAAACACAGCTGCATAGCAACGGCTCTCAGCCCTCAGAAGGAGCGGCTCCCTGTGTATGGAGAGGAGCAGGAGGCTTTTCCCCTGGGCCTCCTGTCCCCATGGCTCCCCAGGGCTCTGGGCACTCCAGTGGCTGACTTGGCATTCAGGGCCATGACCACCACAGGGAGCACCAGGCACATGGTGCGGTGACCGCAGCAAGGAAGTACAGACTGGCACAGGGCAGGGGCTGTGGGCGAGGGAAACCTAGTTGGGAGACCTCTGAACCCAATGCAGGTCTGCTCCCAGACTGCTCCAGGAGGCAGAAATGTGAACAGGCTGAGCAGCCAGGCAGGGCCGAGTCCAGCACTAGGCCCTCTGGCCAGTACTTAACCTTTCTCAGCCTCCATTTCCCGTCTGTAAAATGGGTTACTGACAACAAGAGTTGCTGTCAGCCTTAAATGGGTTTCTGGAACAGCCTTGTGATTTGTCCAGCACAAAGAAGGCCGTCCAAGCCTTGCCCACAAATACTTGATCCACAAGGGGCCGAGGAAGGCCGCGTAGTACGGAGCAGGAGACAGATCCACCTGCGAGGGCACAGCAGCCTCCCATTGCTGAGCGCCCTCCAGCCGGGCCTGTCCCCAGACCCGACCCAGGGCAGTGGCCTGTGGGGAGAGATCTTGTGTGTGGCACTCAATTTCCCTGGAAGATGGGTGTGAAAAATGCCAAGGTCACAGGTGGGCACACCACCAGCGAAAACCCAGAAAGGAGGGGAATTGGACCAGCAGGACCAGTGGGTGTCCCTTAGCTCTGTCCAGAAAGGGCGTGTGTGCACCTCCTGCAGGAGGCAAAGCTTCCAGAACCCTGCCCTACTGGGCTCCTGGGGCTTGAGGCGGAAGCTCGCCCTGGACCCGCAGGCCAACCCGGCTCCACTCTCCTCCCACTCAGGCTATCAGCCGCCTGGTTCACTCGCAGAGCTCTGCGCCTGGGACCATGGAGCTTTCCCTGGGGGCCGCCCCGTCACACTGTGTGCCAGGTGCGGAGCCGCAGGGAAAGCGCAGGTTGCCCGCAGGAGCCCGGGCCTGCGCCACCTAAAAAGGGGAGGTACTTTGCACAGCCGGGAGGAACTCGGGCTCTGACCCGCACCCTGCAACCTCAGAACGGGCTCAGGAGTCAGCAGCTGGCGCAGGTCGGTGTAATCCCACACAAGGAGAGGCGGAAGCAGGAGTGTGACCCCAGCCTGGCCAATGTAGCAATTTAGCAAGACCCTGCCTCAAAAACAAAAGAGCTGGGGATGCGGCACAGTTCCCACGGCCCTGGGGTTCAACCCCTGTACCACAGAATTTTTTAAAAAAAGAAAGAAAAAAGAAAGAAAGAAAGAAAGAAAGAAAGAAAGAAAGAAAGAAAGAAAGAAAGAGAGAGAAGAAAGAAAGGGAAGAAAGGGAAGGGGAAGGGAAGGGAGGGCAGGGAAGAAGAGGGGAAGGAAGGAAAGAAGGAAGGAAGGAAGGAAGGAAGGAAGGAAGGAAGGAAGGAGAAAGAAAAAGAAGAAAGAAAGAGAGAGAGAAAGAAAGAAAGAAAAAGAAGGAAAGAAAGAAAGAAAGAAAGAAAGAAAGAAAGAAAGAAAGCAAGCAAGCAAGCACACTCAGGGTACCCCTGTATAGCACAGGCATTCGCCAGGTTCACGTTTAAGCTGTGACTGTGGCCTTGACAGTGAGCTGTGGCAGAGTCCGGAACCTGCAGGGGAGGGAGGGGCTGGCCAGGAAGGGAGCCTGGCTGCCCCGAAGCTTCTCTGTGACTCACCCAAGGTGTCCCGGTCCTCTCACCACCTCTGTCCAATTCCTTCACCTTAGGTCCCAGGAATTTCCATGATTTCTTGTATTATTAGAAGGAAATAGAACCCACAGATCCTCTTTCTTTCTTTCTTTCTTTCTTTCTTTCTTTCTTTCTTTTGTTTTCTCTTTCTTTTTCTGGTACTGAGGCTCAAACCCAGGGGCAGTGTAGAATGAGCTATATCCTTCCACCCCACTCCACCCCACCTGATCCTTTTTTTAAATTTTGAGATGTCTTGCTAACTTGACCAGGCTGATCTTGAACTTGCCATCCTCCTGCCTCAGCCTCCTGAGTAGGTGAGGTTACAGTCATGTGCCAGATTTCCCTTCCTTCTTGAAGAAGGAATCTTCAAGCCTCACAAAGCCTGGGCAGACCCCTGGAGGGAGTGGGCATGCCTGGAAAGAGCCCTCTCTAGCAGGCAGGTGAGAAAGGAAGGTTCTGAAGGATGCCAGGGGTCGGAGCTTGCAGGGCACAGAGGAGCAAGGGGCCTGTTGGAAAGGAGTAGGGAGGGGGACAAGGTCATGAGGACCTTCGTGGCCATGAAAGCACAGGGATCCCCGGGCCCTAAGCATGTGGCTCTCAGGCTCCAGGTATACCTGGTAGCTCCACCTGTACTCAGCTGTAATTCACACTTCAATACGCATCTTGTCCCTGTGGTGAATCCCAATTCATCCTTCAGGACAGAGCTTCTTGTGGTTGAATTCTGTGCCCCAAATAGGTTATGTTAAACTCCCAGCCTCCCATACCTCAGGATGTGAACTTATTTGGAAATGTGGTCATTGCACATGTCATTAGTAAAGAGGAGGTCATACTCCAGTGGGGCAGGCCTCCTAATCCCACTAGTGTCCTCTATCAAACGGGGATTGGGACACAGACACACACAGGGAGACACCATGGGAAGATGAGTTAGCTGGCTCAAGCCATGAATACCAGTGTGGGGAGAAAGGCTGGAGCACCCTTCCCTGATCCCTTGAGAGGAAGCTCAGCCCTCTGGATCCAGAACTGTGGGACAGTAGTTTCTGTGGATCTCAGTTGCCCGGTTTGTGGGGCTTTAGCATGGCAGCCCGAGGAAACCAGCACAGAGTTTAAGTGTCTCTCCTGGATGAATCCACCCTGACATGCCCAAGTAATGCCAAGGACTCCCCAAAGGTCTGTGGGCTGGAGACCCCGATCTTGGTCCTCTCACCACCCTGGTCCTGCTCTACCAAGGGCTGAACTCTATGGGCTACAGCACCAGGCCCTCCTCCCTTCTGTTTTCCTTTGGGTTTGGACAGCCCCAGAACCTTTGAAAAGATTCCTGGAAGGAAGGAATGAAACCACCTAATGGCTGGTGCAAAATCACAAGCTCTGCAATACGGCCGATAAGTAGCCCCCACCAGACACTTACAGGACAGCTCTCATCCACCCAGGTCTCAGAAACACTTCCATGCTGATGACTGGGGGTCAGTGAGAAATGATCTCATTTTGACCACGATCCCTCAGTAAAACTGTCACTGAGGGTCGTCTTGGCCCTTGTTGACTTGTAGCGTAAAGAGTTTTCCTATGACCTGCAGCAGGAAGAGTAGACATGGTGGGCACCCTCCCATTGCAGGCCACCTGACCTCTTGGCTGGACTGCACGAGTGGCCTTCTAGCCTTCTGCACTCACCACAAGGCCTTGGTGAGGATCTGTGGGCGGCTGCCAGGTGTTTCTATGCTGGCCTTTGCCTTCACTCTTCCTTCCCCCTGGAAGCCTTTGCCACACTCCTTCCTCCCCTTATGTACACATATCTCCCTGGGCTCACCGGGAGATATGTGTACTCACTGGCTAAAAACAGCCTCTCCTCTGGCCCCTGCCCTTCCCCACCATGCATGCCCACCTGTCCCACCCCACCCTGCCTGCCCTGCACACCTAGGCTGTGAGCCCTTGGGGTGGCTCTATTATGTTTTCTATCTCTAGAAGCCAGCAGCAGCCAGGCTCACAGCTGATGAGGGCACATGTGCAGAAAGTGGTATACTCAGGCTGCTATAGGGAGGGGATGTTTCGCAGGCTAAACTCTTGTTCCCTACAATGCTAATGGCTTCCCCCAGGACCGGGCCTTATCTCCAGTCTAGAGTCTGAGCACCGAGCACTGCAGGTTGAGGCAGCTCTGATCCCCTTGGGTGGTAGTGTCACATTGTAAACCAGAACCGTCCCAACCATAGTTGGCAATCAGGTCACATGGAGCATTGCAGGGAGCACATGGGGACCCCCAGGAAGTGGACTTCTCAGCCTGGGCCTCCCTTCCCCTCTGCCTCCGGGTCCCATCCCTCAGGCTCAGGTGAGCCCAGACTAAGGGTAATCAGTATGTGACAGGACCAAGGGTCAAGACAAGTGGACAAGAGAGTTGGCCACCAACTTCCCTGTTAGTCTGCAGCAAGCCCCTGCCTTCCCCAGGCTTCCAAACTCATTTGTGAAATGAGGGAATCAAACACTGGGTGACCTCCAGGTCTCATAAAGCCTGATGCCCTGTAATCTGGGGACAAGGGGACAAGGGCTGGCAGTCTCCATATGCCACATACCGCAGGCAGAGAGACAGATAATGGGGACAAGTGACACCAGACCTACACTGTAGCTAACCATCCTCCAAAGGCTAACCCCCATCTGTGAGAGCGGGAGGTGCTGACCCTACCCGGCCCAGCCAAGGGCACAACACAGGCCTCATCCAACTGGCATTCCCCCTCTAGACTAACTTGCTCCCTGGGAAACGCAGCATACTACATGCAGCCTAAGCCATGCAGTCAGAGAGCGCCCAGCTAAACCTTTCATATCACAGATGAGGACACAGAAGTCCAGAGGGTCACACAGGAAATCAGTGGCTGTGACAGGTCATGGGCTGAGACCTTTGATTCTGCTGCTTTAAGGCTGCTGCTGCCTCTCAGGGGCTTCTCCCCAAACAGTCAACCCTCCCCCCTATGGGGTGTGCCCCATCCCCTCCAAAAGGAACTGTCAGGAAGAGCAACTCACCCTCACAGCCACAGGCAAGAGCTGAAGGGCAAATACGACAGCAGGACGGATGGAAAGGATGGCACAGGATGCATGGATGGGAGGGAAGGAGGGAGG